GGTGTTAACGTCCCCTACTATTACTGTATTATTGCCAATGTGTTTCTTTGATTTTGTTATTAATTGGTTTACATAATTGGCTGCTTCCATGTTAGTGGATTTGGTTAGTTTAGTTAAAAATTGTTAGATCTTCTTGTTGGACAGACCCCTCAAGTATGATATAGTATAGTGTCCTTCCTCATCTCTTATTATAGTCTTTGGCTTAAAATCTAATTTAATCTATTATAAGGATTGCCACCCCAACTTTCTTTTGATGGCCATTAGCATGGTAAATGGTTTTCCACCCCTTTATTTTAAATCTGGAGGTGTCTTTGGGTCTAAAATGAGTTTCTTGTAGACAGCCTATCGATGGGTTTCATTTTTTTATCCATTCTGATACCCTGTGTCTTTTGATTGGTGCATTTAGCCCATTTACATTCAGGGTAACTATTGAAAGATATGAATTTAGTGCCATTGTATTGCCTGTAAGGTGACTCTTACTGTATATTGTCTTTGTTCCTTTCTGGTCTGTTACTTTTAGGCTCTCTCTTTGCTTAGAGGACCCCTTTCAATATTTCCTGTAGGGCTGGTTTGGTGTTTGCAAATAATTTTAATTTTTGTTTGTTCTGGAAACTTTTTTTTTTAAGATTTTATTTATTTATTTGACAGACAGATCTCACAAGTAGGCAGAGAGGCAGGCAGAGAGAGAGGAAGGGAAGCAGGCTCCCTTCTGAGCAGAGAGCCTGATGCGGGGCTCAGTCTCAGGACTCTGGGATCATGACCTGAGCCAAAGGCAGAGGCTTTAACCCACTGAGCCACCCATGCACCCCCGTCCTGGAAGCTTTTTATCTCTTCTTCTATTTTCAATGAAGCGTAGCTGGATATAGTATTCTTGGCTGCATATTTTTCTCCTTTAGTGCTCTGAATATATCAGTCCAGTCCTTTCTGGCCTACCAAGTCTCTGTGGATAGGTCTGCTGCTAATCTAATATTTCTACCATTGTATGTTACAGACCTCGTGTCCCAAGCTGGTTTCAGGAATTTCTCTTTGTTACTTCGAGTTGTAAGTTTTACCATTAGATGACAGGGTGTGGACCTACTTTTATTGATTTTGAGGGAGGTTCTCTGTGCCTCCTGGATTTTGATGCTTGTTCCCTTTGCCATATTAGGGAAATTCTCTACTATAATTTGCTCCAATATACCTTCTGTCCCTCTCTCTCTTTCTTCTTCTGGCATCCCAATTATTCTAATATTGTTTCGTCTTATGGTATCACTTATTTCTCAAATTCTCCCCTCATGGCCCAGTAGTTGTTTGTCTGTCTTTTGCTCAGCTTCTGTATTCTGTGTTACTTGGTCTTCTATATCACTGATTCTCTCTTCTGCGTCATTTATTGTAGCAGTAAGAGCATCTGTGTTTTATTGTATCTCATTAATAGCTTTTTTTATTTCAACTTGGTTAGATTTTAGTTCTTTTATTTATCCAGAAAGGGATTTTATTTCTCCAGAGAAAGATTCTCCAATACCCTCCATGCTTTTTTCAGCCCCATCTGGCACCTTGATAATCATCATGCTGAACTCTAGTTCTGACATATTACTAATGTCCATATTGATTAAGTCCCTAGCCATCGATACTGCCTCTTCCCTTTTTTTTTTCTTTTTTTTGTGGTGAGTTTTTCTGCTTTGTCATTCTATCCAGATAAAAATTGATGAATGAGAGAAAAAGAGCAAAATACTAAAAGGTTGGCAAAGACCCCAGAAAAATATATGCTAATCAAATCAAAAGAGATGCAAAACTGGGGGAAGAAGAAAAGGGGGAAAAATTTAGAAATATATATATTAGACTGGTGAATAGAACAGAGCCACCCACTTGATTTTGGGTGTATTCTGGTCTCTTAGATGAACTACCTCCTAAAATTTCAAAGGAGGAAAAACATATATATATATATATGTGTGTGTGTGTGTATATATATATATACACACACACATACACACACACACACACACACACACAAATAAGGGTAAACACCATGAAGGATGGAATATGACTGTAAAGATGAAAATTTAAAAAGATTCTAAAAAAGGAATTGACAAGAAGTTGGTTGGAAAAAGAAAAAAGAGGAGAGAATGTGATCAGTCTGGAGACTAGAACAAAGCCATGTGCTAGATTAAGGGCATATTTTGATCTATGAGAAGAAATTGTATCCCAAAATTTTAAAGAAAAAAAAAACCTGAATGTATACAAAAAATAAGGTTAAATACAATGAAGGGATAGAATATGAATTTAACAGTGAAAATTTAAAAAGATTTTTTTAAAAGGTATTGATAAGATAAAATAGTTTTAAAATGTTAAAATAAGAAAGAGGAAAAGTTAGGGGCTCCCGGGTGGCTCCGTGGGTTGAGCCTCTGCCTTCGGCTCAGGTCATGATCTCAGGGTGCTGGGATCAAGCCCCACAAGGGGCTCTTTGCTTGGTGGGGAGCCTGCTTCCCCCTTTCTCTCTGCGTGCCTCTCTGCCTACTTGTGATCTCTCTCTGTGTCAAATAAATAAATAAAATCTTTAAAAAAAAAGGAAAAGTTAAAAAAATAGAATAAGAAAAAAATAAAATTTAAAAAAGTTAGCTTTTAAAGGCTAAAGGATCATGGGAAAGAAGCCATGATTCAATGTGTTGCTTTCCCTTAGCTTTGGAGTTCCGCAGTTCTCATTGATCGGTGAACTTGGTCTTGGCAGGATGTTCTTGATGATCTTCTGAGGGAGGGGCCTGTTGCATGATTCTCGGATGTCTTTGCCTGAGGCAGAATTGCACTGCCTTTGCCAGGAGCCAGGCTAAGTAATCTGCTTGGGTTCGCTCTCTGTAGCTTTTGTTCCCTGAATGCTTTCCATACAGCTTTGGGGGACGGGGATGAGGATGGCAGCTTCCAAATCTCTGGCCTGTAGGAGGGAGACAAGAGCTTGGGACCCCACTCCTCATTGCCCTCAGAGAAAAGCAGTCAGTCCCTCCCATCTCCAGGTCTCCGGCTGCACTCGGAGCTCACCCATCCTGTGACCAAGCGTTTCTATCTCTGGCATGTGGCCACCCCATTTGGAGTCTCCAAACCCAGCAGATTCCTGCCATGCACTCCCACACTGCTCCTCCCGGAGGAGGCGGGGGGGGATCTCTCCAGATCTGCCATTTGTGGGGTCCCTGCTCAAAGAACAGTGGCCCAACTGTGACTTGGGTCACGGTTTAAGGTAACCCTGAGCTGAGAGCCCCCTCCTTGGCTCTGTCTCTGCAGCCAGTCTCCCCACTCCAATACCTGGGAGCTCTGCCACACAGACACTCCTGGTCTTTCTGTGACCGCATGGGTCCTGAGACTACACTGTCCCTGTGAGGGCTCCACCCCCGCTTAGCTCTGGAGTGACTTCCCTCAGTGGAGCAGACTTATAAAAGTTCCAATTTTGTGCTCCGCTGCTCTCTCTCAACCCAGTAGCCGGCCCCTCCCTCTGCAGTCTGTCTTCCCGTTGCTTCAGATTCACTTCTCCACACGTCCTACCTTCTGGAAAGTGGTCAATTCTCTGTTCCTAGAATTGCTGCTCTTCTCTTCCATCTCCTGTTGAGTTTGTAGGTGTTCAGAATGGTTTGATAACTATCTAGCTGAACTCCTGGGACCTAATGATATTTCAGTCTCCTATTCTTCCACCATCTTGCTTCCTCTCCCTCAAACATCAGACTCTTGATCTTAGCTTAGGTCTTGATCCAAAGGTTGTAAGTTCAAACCCCACATTGTGCTCATGAAACAAACAAACAATAAAGCAACACAAATATGGCATATGCCAGAGGGCACAGGAGCCAACTGAAAGAGTTCCCAGTGGCCAAAATTAGAACAATTTAAACAAATAAAGTAGAGCATTTAATTTGCCATCAAGATTAGAAAAGTTTATACTGAGGCACCTGGGCACAAGGTGGGTTAAGCCTCTGCCTTCAACTCAGGTCATGATCCCAGGGTCGTGGGATTGAGCCCCAGTCGGGTTCCCTGCTCAGCAGGGAGTCTGTCTGTCTCTCCTTCTCCCTCTGACCCTCCCCTGGCTCATGCTCACTCCCTCTCTCAAATAAATAAACCTTTAAAAAAAATAAACTACACCACAGAATGTCAAAGAGACTAGAGATTGTCACATGTAGAAATAGTATTATCCATCAGTGCAAAATCCTAAGAGTACCCAAGCAGGCAAATAAACCTTATGTCAACCCTGCAGGAGTATAATCCAAAGTGTAAAGTACACATTCATGAGACCATACTGATATTAATCAGTGATCATATAAATAAATAAAAAGAGGAGAACAGACAAATCCCCTGCGTAGAACTCTACATGATTAATGTAGATACTGTGCTCTCAGTGGGATAGACCAGACCATGACTTCCTGCTCTGTAGGTGTGGGCTTCACATAGTGATTTCCTTCCAACATTGAAAGTATGGAAAGGGGGGGAAAAGAGTCATTTTGCAGTGGGGAAATCTGACAAACACGACCTCAACCAGGTGATCCAGGCCAACATGAACAGGGACATGTTGATAGTATGTACCCTTCAGTGGCTGTGATGAGAATGACACTTTATTTCTATATTCTTTCTCCTAAAAACCCTAGTCTAAGCATGAGAAAACATCAAATGCTAATTAAGGGGTATTCTACAAAATACCTGACTAGGACCTCAAAACTGTCAGTCATCAAAAATAAGGAAAGTCTGGGGAGATGGGTGGCTCGGTTGTTGGGCATCTGCCTTCAGCTCAGGTCATGATCCCAGGGTCCTGGAATGGAGCCCCACGTCAGGCTCCCTGCATAGTGGGAAGCCTGGTTCTCCCTCCCACTCCCCCCCCCACCTGTATTTCTTCTCTCACTGTATCACTCTCTGTTAAATAAATAAAATCTTTAAAAAAAAAAAAAAAAGGAAAGTCTAAGAAAAGCCAAGTAGATCCTAAAGAGATGCTTATTTCTTTTATATAAATCTATGTATATTTTTAAAAATTATACTGTGATTATATGTTCAACCCAGAAATGCCACTTTTTAAAACCCAACAAAAATATTTACAAAGCATACAAAATATATGTAAAAACTACTAATCGTAGTTGTTTGTAGAAAGCAAAACGTGGGGAACAATTTACCTGTCCCTATATCGGAAGGCGATTGTATGGTATTGTGCCTGGCAGAATTCTAAGGTGAAGCTGCAGTGACCCTGCCCTTGAGTGTGGGTGAGACTTGGAGTGGGATGGATTCTATTCCCCTGATTAGGTTGTCAGATGGCGCAGCTGACCTTCCGAAAGAGAGGTTATCCTGAGTGGCCCTGACCTAAGCAGGTGACTCCTCAAAAGGATTCAGCTCTTCCTAGAAGAAGTGTGAAGCTTGAGGTATATTTGTTACTGGCTTTGAAGATGGAGGGAATCACCCGGTAAGGAATGAAGGAAACCTCTAGGAGCTGAGCGGCCCCAGTCGACCGCCAGCAAGGAAGCGAACTTCAGTCCTGAAGCTGCAAGGAAGTGGATTCTGCCACAGTTTGAAAGAGGTTGGAAGAGGACCCCAAGTCTCAGATGGGGGGGCAGCCCTGGGAGACCCTGAGCAGAGGAGCAGCCACACTGTGCGAGACTCCTGAACACAAAAACCGTGAGGTAACAGCTTTGTATCGTTTAACCTGCTAATTGAGTGGCGATTAGTTACACAGCCATAGTAAGCACAGGTATATCCCGGCTGTGGAGCACTATGCAGCCAGTCAGACCAGGGGGAAACCCACGATTACTGCTGATTGCATAAGGGAAGTTGGAAAAATTACATGTAACATGATCCTGTCTTCATAAAACTAAGACGTCTGTGAATGGCAGAGAGTCTGGGATGATAACGCTAGCTGAGGAGTGGGATTTAGCAGAAGGAACTTCCGGTTGTTGACATACATTTCTTTGGTGCTACAGAGTTTGTTTTGGTGGAGGGTGGTTCTTAATTTATTTACAAGGAGCCTGCACTTTTTTTCTAATTAAAAAGACAAACCAAATCAAACTAACAAATCAAACTCTGCTGACCCTGAGAATCAGGGCCAAACTCTTACTGAGGACCCTCTTGATCTAGCTTCACTGACCTCCAGGTCTCCCCTGCCACCTCTCACTCCTCTCCGTCCTGTCCCACCTGCACCTGAAGCTCCAGCTCCACGGCCTCCCTGTGCTCTGCCTTCTGGACTTAAGATTTACTCTTCTTTCTTTATGCCATTCTTTTCCCCTTTTCTTTGAGGGGCCCACTTGCCCTTTGTGGCTGGTGCTTTCTGACATACTCTCTTCCCTGTTTTTTTTGGCACCATAACTTCATTCTTTCCTCTTTGACCCTCTTTGCCAACTCCATTTTTTCTCCCTGGTCTTTAGGTTAGTCCTTGGCCTCCTGTTCCTTCTATCTGGGCAAGCTCCTTCCCATCCACTGTTCCAGTTCCATCACTCTGCCTCAAATGGCACACATTGCTCTCCACCCCAGACATCCCTCTTCGCACAACACTCAGAGAGCCTTCTTCAGAACAAGCCCCCAGACTTCCCCAGGACACATAGAGCCTCACTAGATGACACTGCTGTCCTTCCCACTGTGCAAGACGGAGACCTGGCTTATCCCCTCTCTACAACCCAAACACTTCTCTCTCTTTTTTTTTAAATTTTTAAGTTTTTGGGTTTTGTTTTTTAAGATTTTATTCATCTATTTGACACACAGAGTACAAGCAAGGGAGTGGCAGGAAGAGGGAGAAGCAAGCAGGCTCCTGCTGAACAGACAGCCCAACATGGGATCGATCCCAGGACCCTGGGATCATGACCTGAGCCAAAGGCAGATGTTTAATTTACTGAGCCACCCAAACGCCCCCCCACCCATACACTTTATTGCACTGCTTCTCCCTTCTCATCTGATTGCCCCTGCAAGTGCCCTGCACCCTTTCCAGAAGCCTCTTAAAAACAACTCTGATGAGGCACCTGGCTGGCTTAGTCGGGAGAGCATGCAACTCTTGATATCAGGATTGAAAGTTCAAGCCCCCACATTGGGCACAGAGCCTCCTTAAAAAAACACAGACCCTGATATTACTACTGAAAATCCTTTAAAGATCTCCTCTGGCTCTAGGGATGACGACCACATACTTTGAGTTCAGACTCAGCTTATCCTAACCTGAACTCACATCTCCTCTTGCCTTCTGCACTCCAGCCTCTCTGGTGCTTCCCTCAAAATGGCCTTGCTTCCAGGGCTCCTCCCATGCTAGTCTGGCCTGAACATGCCCTCCTAGTAGCCTGCCCTGGCTGCTAGTTGGTGCCTTACCACCTCTGTTTCTGGTCTCAGAAATCACACTCCTCAAGGGATGCCTGGGTGGCTCAGTTGGTTAAGCCTCTGACTCTCGATCTCAACTCACATCTTGATCTCAGGGTTGAGGGAGCCCAGTGTTGGCCTCCACGCTCAGTGCAGAGTCTGCTTGGGGTTCTCTCTCTTTCCCTCTGCTCCTCCCCCTGTTTGCATGTGTGCAGGCGTTTGCACACGCTCTAAGAAATCTTTTAAAAAATTAAAAATCACACTCCTCAAGTAAGCTTTCCTGATGCCCAGACTAGACCAAACCCCTGATGTGGGCACTCAGAGCCTCCTTTCCTTTCCCCCATAGCCCTTCTTACATTTTGCCACGAAGGTTTGTGTAATTATGGATTCACTAGACCTAGGGACTGGGCCTGCTTTCTTCCTGTTGTATTCCCCAGACCTAGCAAGGTTAGGCACTCAATGAATAGGAACGTAAAAGTTGAGGGAGAAGAGATAGAATAAAAGGGAGAAAGTACGTGGAGTAAAGAATAGTTTGGTGTGGCTGGGATGCAGGCTCTGGGGTGATAGAGCTGGAAAGCCCAGCTGATGTCAGAATGGGGCGCATGCGGATACCAGACGAAGGAATTCAGGCTTTTTGTGAACCAAGGATGTAGGCTAAGCTTCCTGAGCAGAGCCGCAGTTACGTGATCAGTGGGGAATCAGTGGGATGACCTAGTACATTCTGAAAGCCTTTGACAACCAGTTTGAATTGATACTGGCTATGGAACAAGGAATTTGGGGGCAGATTATATTTTCTGTGAGTTGTGCCTATTGGGTCTTCAATATTACTGCCGTAAGTGAACTGGAAGAGTTGCCACTCAGAGGTCATAGTGCTTTACGCATTAGCTCATCAGGATGCAAAGGGCTGTGATCATAGGCAGCAGAGCATTTCTGCATCCTGTTGAGCAAGGAATCTAAGCAACATTTTTTTGGTTCAGTTTTTTAAAAAATAGGTGTTTACTGAAGTAAGCAAGGATTTGCGGCTGTTTGGAGCCGGAGTGGCAGATGGAGCCAACTTGGAGACTTCTGGGGCAGAAGTATGAGTTACAACCCAGAGGCTGCTGCATGATGCCCAGACATCACACAGACCACCTCCACGCTCGGAGAGCCGAGGAGCTCTCAGGTAAAGGGTCCCTGATCACTGAGTGATTAGGCTTGCAAGAGAACATACTCTCACTGGTGGGGAGGCCTTGGTGGAGATTTGAGCTTCAAAAGCCAGGCTGGGATTACTCAGTTGCTCTTCCCTCTACCTCCTGAGGGACCCTAAGTTGTATTTAAGCAGGCCCGTGTCCCTACCTATCACTGAGTATGCCAGAGGAAGTCAGCCATGTCTCTGCCTAAGCTATAAAGAACTAATTAACCACACTTAATAGCCCATAATTTGTTATTTCTGCATTTTAGTCCCAAGGTTCTCTCCTAAGTTATTACCCAGGAAGAAACATAAAACTGTATTTCATAGAAACAAAGAAAATGAATTTTTTTTTTTTTTTTTTTTTTTTTTGCTTTATCTCCAAAGCAGTGGGTCTTCATAGTTGGAAATGAGGCTCATTCTCAGAGATGGGAAAGAATGCCGCTCCAGGTCCCCCATCATTATGATGCAAGTGTACAGATAGGACCAGCTACATAATCTGTGGGACCTAGTGCTAAGTAAAGATGTGGGCCCCTCATTAAATACAGTAGGAATTTCAAGCCTGCAATAGAAGACCATTAAAGCAGGGGCAGGGCCCTTCTGAGCGTGGGGAGGCAGAGGCTGCTCACACAGAATGATTTGAGCGCTAGGATGAGGAAGGGGCTTTGCCTGAAGGAACTCAGCAGCCTCAGTAGAGAAGGAAGTGTCAGTCAGGAAAGATCCGGGAAAGCACGTGGCAGCCATAGGGCCACTTCTGTGAGAGTGAATGGTATGGCCAAGGACAGCATTCTCTCAGCAGTCCTTGGTCATGTTCTGCTTGGGGTTTGGATATCAGAGGGACCAAGGATCAGAAAAGAATCAGGGTGCCTTAGGACATCAGAAGGAAGGGGTGATGAAAGGGTATAGAAAACACAGGGATTGAGGAGGCATGAAGAGGTGGAGTTTCTAGGCATGGAACTCTCCCTGTTTGGTTTTTGTTTAATCAGCCAATTTTTTTAACTGAAGTAGAATGTATCAAATTTAAGTGAATGATTCTTTCCCTTAAACTTGCTTCTCCCTTTTCTCCATCTTGGTAGGTCATCTGGGTGGGTCACTATTCACCCAGTTGATAAGACAGAAACCAGGAGGGGCGCCTGGGTGGTTCAGTTGGTTGAGCAACTGTCTTCAGCTCAGGTCATGATCCTGGAGTCCAGGATCGAGTCCCGCATCAGGCTCCCCCGCTCAGCGGGGAGTCTGCTTCTCTCTCTGACCTTCTCCCCTCTTATGCTCTCTCTCTTCTTAAGTAAATAAAATCTTTAAAAAAAAAAAGAAACCAGGAGTCATTTTTGATTCCTCCTCCTTTATCTCAGTACCACGTACTAAGTCCCATTAGTTCTACTTGCACTTGTACCTCCTGAGCCCACACATCCACTTCTCTCCATATCCTGATGCCCTCATCTTTTCTGGCCATGACTATGACAACAGCCTTTAATTAGGTTGGCTTTTTTTTTTTTTAAGATTTTATTTATTTGACAGAGAGAGATTACGCGTAGGCAGAGAGGCAGGCAGAGAGAGAGGAGGAAGCAGGCTCCCCGCTGAGCAGAGAGCCCGATGCGGGGCTCTATCCCAGGACCCTGGGATCATGACCTGAGCCGAAGGCAGAGGCTTTTACCCACTGAGCCACCCAGGTGCCCCTAATTAGATTGGCTTTTAAATCATGCTGACTTGAGTTTAAGTCCTCATTCTGCCACCTGTTAACTAGGTGACTTGAATGGGGCTCTTCAGCTTTTTGAGCCTCAGTTTCCTCATCTGAAAAATGGGGACAATATACCTATCTTAAATGGTCATTGTCAGGACTAAATGAAATGATGCCAGTGGCTTAGCACACAGTATGTACTTGATGAATCAGCATCTTCCTTCTCTTTCCCTCATCCTTCAGGCCTCAGTTTAAACATTACTTCCTTAGGTCCCCCTCTCTTGACTTGCCACAGGCTCAGTGCAGGTTCCCAGCAATGCAGACTCCTCTGCAACGTTCATCACACTTATCTGTCTTCTCTCAACTCTCCTTTCCATCAGGACAAGGATCCTGTTTTCTTCTGCCTAATGAGATGCCTGACAAGGGGTAGAAACTCCTTTTTTGTTATTTGACTAGTATCCTCATACATAATCAAAGGTTCCCGGGCTTGGGGTCCCTGTAACGTTCTCAACTAATTAAGTAAGGTAGATGGCCACATTACGTAAACAGGAGGCCAAGAGTATCCCACCAGCTTTAAGTTAAACCTGGGGCACTGGGGGTGATTCATCGTAGCAGATCCCTTCCATAAGAAATCAGCCTAGGGAGTGGATCAAGATAGCAGGGGATCCTGAGCTTACCTGCTCCCATGGACACACCGAGGCTGCACCTGCATACGTAGCAACTCCACTGAGAATGTTCTGAAGACTAGCAGAACAGCTCTTCCACAGCTAAAGATATAAAGAAAGCCACATGGAGAAGAGTAGGAGGGGCAAAGGCATGTTCTGGTTGGGACCCATAACCCTGGTACAGTGACTCACTAGTGGAAGGGATATCACAGGCACAGAGATCGTCCCTCAGAAGTGAGGGGTTCAAACCCTGCCCCCTCATCAGGCACCTCGAGCTATGGAGATCTACACTGGGAAGAGGAGCCCTCATAACATCTGGCTTTAAAAAAAATCAGTGGCGCGTAACTTCAGGAGCTCTGAAAATTAGCAGGGCTGATCACGAGAACTGGAGGGCTGTGGGAAACTATGAGTCCACTTTTAAAGGGCCCATGTACAAGCTCACTTGCCCTGAGACTCAGCACAGAGGCAGCAGTTTGAAAAGTGCCTATGTCATGTGGGAAGGAGATTTATTGACTAATTTATTTATTTTAATTGTTTATTTTAGGGTCACCTAAGTGGCTCAGTTGGTTAAGCATCTGCCTCGGGCTCAGGTCATTATCCTGGGGCCCTGGGATCAAGCCCCAAGTCAGGCTCCCTGCTTAGTGGGGAGCTTGCTTCTTCCTCTCCCTTGGCCCTTCCCCCCTGCTCATGCTCAAATAAATAAACATTTTTTTAAAAAGAGATTTTTTATTTTAAGTAAACTCTACACCACACATGGGGCTCCAACTCACAACCCTCAGATCAAGAGTCTTATGCTCTATGACTAATTAATTTTAGGGTGAGGGCATGTGCTAAAGGGGCAAGGATCTGTAGGGGCTTTCTCTGAGAATGGAAGCACTGGCAGGCACCACATTTCTTTCCGTCCCTCTGTCTAGCTGGCCTGATGCTAGACAGATACACTAGAGGGGAATCCACAGCAGATTAGATAGTGCAGAAGAATGCATCAACAACCTGGAAGACAGGGTAGTAGATGTCATCCAAGCTGAGTGGCCAAAAGAAAAAAGAATTTTATTTTTTTTTTAAGATTTTATTTAGGGGCAGCATGCAGAGGGAGAGGGAGAGAGAGAACCTCCAGCAGACTCTTCTCTGAGCACAGAGCCCAATGTGGGACTTGATCTCAAGACCCTGAGATCATGACCTGAGGCAAAATCAAGAGTCAGACTGTCATATTCAGACTCATTGCTGAATATGAAGTATTTCATGTTGGGAACCTCCTGGTTGGAGATGGCCAGGAGTCTCCACCACCCCTGGAAGACCTGATCTATTTCTCTCTTCTCTCTGGTTTGGCAGAGTAGACATGCTATTGCCTTCGAGCATGGAAGACAAGGATTCCTGCCACCTCCCACTTTGGACTACACTGGAAAGCTGGTAAGGTGTGGCGAGTCTGTCAGAGTAGGCATTCATTGTCACCTCTAGAGCCACTAGGCTGTAAAACATGGTGTTTCCTCATGGAACAACAACCTTGTGGGTTGATTGGACAAACATCCCCATAAGTGAGAAATTAAAGCAGAGTACAGTGGTCAAGACCACACCCTAAATAAGCAGTTAAGGGGGCTAGGACACAAGTCCCACAGTTTCTGGGTCTGGGCCACCCAGGGCTCCGCACACGTCAACACCAGACCATGTCTTCTTCAGGCTGAGAGCTGTCTTGACCCTTCATGGAGTTGGTGTCTGCTGCCAACGGATTTGTCTCTGTGCGAGAGGTCGAAGGCTTACAGTTGAGTGAGGGAGCTCGTCCTAAGAAATTTAGTACATTTTAAAGAGTAGCTAATTCCTTCTTGCAACATGGACTACTTTGTGTGGAATGTAATGCGGTTCTGTAGTTTGGAAATGAATAGTCCTGTGTAAATTCAGTGCAATAGCGCTAGTACTTCAAGGGTCCCTTTGGAATTGCTCCCGTGCCTTCTCTGCTCTGATTTAGGCCTTTTATCCTGCACGTGGCCTCTTTTTGTTCTTCCCACTCCTTCATCCTCCTGGCACCCACTCCCAGCTGGCTCTGACCAAGGAGAAGCTGGGTAAGAGTGTGGTCTCTAGAGACAGAAAGCCGGAACTCAAACCATGGTTCTGCTGCTTATTTGCTGTGTAACCTTGGGCCAGGGCCTTAACAGCAGTGCAGGCTCTGTTGTCAAATTTTCTTTTCTTTTTTAATTTATTTGAGAGACAGAGCACGAGCTGGGAGGAGAGGCAGAGGGAGAGGAAAAAGCAAACTCCTGCTGAGCAGGGGGCCTGACAGGGGGCTCAATCCGAGGACCCTGGGATCATGACCTGAGCCAAAGGCAGATAGATGCCCAACTGACTGAGCCACCCAGGCACCCCTCCACTGCCTTATTTTCAAATGAGGATAGAGTAGTACTGACCTACCAGGTTGATAGAATTAAGTGTGTTAATTCAAGTAGTTAAACATAGTCTGACCCATAATAAATCTTATATCATCTTTTTCAGTTCTCTGTTCAGAAACCCCAAATAGTTAAAGAATTGAGACCAGTGTTTAACCGAAAATAGACTTCCTTGGCCTCTTTTAACAAGTACTTCCTCATTTGCTAAACTGTGCGCTCCAACTCAGTTCCCCAAACCTGCCCTCCTGCCTCGGCTCATGCTGATCTAGTATTGCCATCAGTTGACATCACTGCTGCCCCTTCAGGGCAGGCTCTCTGGTCAGATGGGCTCATGGGCTTTCTTCTTCCTTTAAGCCGTATCTAAGTAGGCCTCCAGAGTTGTAGAGGAAAGCTAAAGTCAGAACACGTGAAAAGTATTCTCCGAACAACTGAGCATATAAAAAATTACTTTCCACTTAGACATTGTTAAACAATAAAAATTCAGCTGAGTAACTTCAGAGAGCACATTGGCTTTGATTCAGTGACTCCTTATTTGGGCAGGTCATGAATTTACATAGGACCATCCAGCAGCAGAAAGGCGCTCTGAAGGGCTGTACAAAATGCAGGGTTCTTAAGAGCAAAAATGGGGAGGGAAAGGGGAATGGTTAGTAAGGAATGCATTGTTCCCGAAGATGGCCTTTCTCCCAGGATCAGAGGGGGCTACATCAAGTGGATTCTCTCACCAGTACTGACTAGGTAATTCCGTGACGACTGGTTAAAGGTTCTGCCTGGGGAGCTGAAGATGCAGTTCGATAGCAAGCCAGGATGTGCAGACGTGGGGCTTTGCACAGCTGACTGCATTTGGGGCCTGTTGTCTCTTTTTAAGCATCTCCCTGCTTACCACCCTCCCCGCACTGCAGCCGTCTCTCCCATCTCATACATAAGATTGTGAGATGTTGTAAATTTCTGACATTGACGGTACAATGAAATGGTGCCAGAGTACAATTTAAGTTTTAAAATGTAGAATGTCATAAAGTCACAGAGTATTGGTGGGAAACTGCTCAAATGACTGCAGTCACGCAAATAAGGAGCTGAGGGTCAGGTCCATTAAGAAATGAAGAGCTTCGTGGAACCAGAGAGGTGCTTCAGGGGGGCAATTTGAGTAATGGAATAAGAGAGACTTGCAGAGAAACTGAGGAAGCCCCTAACTTTTGCAAAAATGACTGCCCCACGGAAATGGTGTCCTGTTGTGCAATCATGTAATTTTAGGAGGGAAATACACATAAAATAATTTTGTTCTAAGAACTAGCCCATAGTTGCAGTTGCACTTTGAGAGCTACTAGTTTTAGTAGTAGTTTCGTTTTCCAGGAAGTTCCAGTCAAACCTTTTCCACTGTTCATTATATGTAACTCTAGTCTCCATTTTAAGTAGGTTGACTCAGATGCTTTTTCAAGTCTCAGTTCTTTTTGGATAATGAAAACCTTTTAACTTAACTTTTATCTGCCCCATCTCCCCTAACAGCACACTCCTAGGGCAAACAGCGTCAAGACAGAAATGCCATGTCACCACCTCTTAGGGTGATGGGGGCGGTTATGTGTGCATGAGTCACCAGTGAAGCCTGTGCTGACCCACGGCCCTCAATTACTTGTTAAGTGAATGAGTCCTGGTATATCCAGAACTGTTGAAAGCAAAGACCTGCAGTGAGGGGCCAGCAAGGAGGAGTGACTAGGTGATCCCAGATAGCCAGGCCCTTGTCTTCAGCTCTGTCTGGGCTTTTCAGGCATTGGCAGTGTTCTCTAAAAGCCTGGAGTGCTCTGCAGGGTAGGGCTGAGTGGAGGTCGTGAGAGAGGCAAGGGTGATCGGTTAAGGAGAGGCAGACGCCCCTGCTGCCACTCCTCTGGCCTCCCCCCGAGTAGCAGATGGAAGCTGTGTGAGGTGGCACTGGGAGCTCTGGTTTATTCCTGCCTGGTATGGTTCAGAACTTAAGACTAAGCTTCATAACCAGACTGCATGGCGGAGCGTTTCCCAGTCCCAGGGAACGAATCTGCAAAGAGGTTAACTTCTTACTTGGGAGCGGAGGAGGAAGAGCAGAGTGGCACCAGTGTTCATGCCAGCTCCGGGCATGGGCTGTTTAGGTCCCCCAGACCGAGGAGAGAACAGAAAGCAAGGCCTGACGCTGTAGGCTGTTTGCAGAGGTCTGAGCACCAGCCGGGGGTTGCCTTGTGGTGAAGTGTACTTTGAGAAGGAATGCTCTGGGGCAGGGGCTGGAGCACATGGCTAGTTCTCAGGGACATATGAGCACAGTGTCAGGTGGGGCAAGAGGAGCCTCTGAGGCAGCACCTGGTTTATCATTCAGATGAAAGCATTGCGCCGGAGCTGCCAGAGCACAGAGGTCACGTCCCAAGAGTTGACAGTAAGAGTGGGAGCTGCCCCAGCAAAGAGGGTGTGCTAGCTGGTCGCGGCACCTTCACGGCGACTTGAATGAACCCCCAGTCTAGGGCCTGACCTTCCACATGGCAAGGTGTGGTAGGGCAACCATTTACAGTGAACACTAATCTGGTTTAAGTTGGGTGACAGAGCCTTAAATACGTTCACCTAGCTTGGGCTCCTTTGGCACAAGAGGTGGAGGGGTGGGGATCATATGAATGCAAGGTCTTTTGCTTCATTTTCCAACCTTGGGCTCTAGGGTCCTCACGGAGGTCTTCTTGCTAGATAGCGCACACAGCCTGGGCCCGGGCCTCTGCCTCAGAGATCTGCACTGCAGAGGTTAAGGGCCACCTGCTTCTGCCTCCCCTGCTCCTCAGCCTGGACAGCTGGTCTCCGTCTTTAGTCAGGAACCTCAGCAAAGTGAGGCCATGTCAGTCTCCACAGGGCTCAGGAGTTCTTAGGTGCCCCCTCAACCCCAACAAGTGGTTTCTTTCTCTCGGGCCCCCTTCCATTGCTTTCACACCATTTTAAAGCATCAGTGCACCTGCATCCATGAGAACATTTTAATCCTTTAATAAAATACATGTATGAACTTTAAAGTCTTTGAGTAGTGATAGTTTTGCAATAAATTGCAAATGTCAGATCAGAATGCTTCAAGGTCAGAATTTTACCTCCGTAAGGTGGAAGACCCAGGGTGGGGCCGGCTGTCTCCTAGTCTCAATACATGGTGCAGCAGAATGTCTGCCAGACATTCAGAGTGTCTGCCAGCAGCCAGAGATAGAAATGCCAGCTCATCCCATGAACAGTGGGGAGGGGAACATTTACTAAGCAACCACCTTCAACCGGCTCTTCTGGCAAAGCGCTGTGCTCTAGACGAGGAAATGGCTCAGTTCCCCACCCGCCCACAAGGGAGCTCAGCTGGTGCTGCAGGGCTGGGATTCCAAACCCAGGTCTGTGGGCTCAGAAACTCAGGTTCTCTCCACCAAACTAGTGGTTTTGAAACTGGCTTTTGTGGCAGCGCTTCAGGGGTTCTCCACAAACACTTCAAATAGCTGAGATGGTAAAAATCATCGCTTATGTGCACACATGAGTTTAAACTGCCTGAGACGTCACTGTGAGGCCTCCACAGCCGCACCTGAGTAGGCCTGGGGGCTGAGACGGAGGGCCCTAGCCTGGTGGTGGATCGCCAGGCCCAGCTGCTGCTCAGCACTAGTGGCTCTCATTGTAATTTGAGGGCTTATTTATAACCTTTTGGTGTTTCTTACTGATATAGAGAGGATAAGGATTGAAAGCAGGTATTGAATATTCTTCTATTAACTTCTATTAATCCTTTTTTCCAAGCATCTACTTCACTTTTGTCAATAACCAGAGATTGCAGACAAGCTGTGACTGTTACCATTTGCAGCCGCTCACCTATTATATGATTTTTCTCTCTATAGCAAACAAATTCAGAAATAAATTGGAGGCAGAGACCATTCACAACTAACCCATTTGCAGTAGTAAAAATGCCCCCCCCTCCAGTCCTACTGATTTAAGACAGTGTTATTACTTCAACTTAGACAATTCATGCTAATAACACTTACATATTTGAAAGGTTAAAGACAGTGATTATCGTATCAAAACCTTTTGATTTGGATTGGGAGGGAGAGGAGGGCTCATTCTTTAAGCCTTTTGGTAGCATTTACTAAGCTCTTCTCTAAGATTTCTAGGTCGGAGGCAGGTTACGTAGCCACTTATCTAAGGCTGTCTTCTGGAAGACCAGGAGCACTAGCAGGTGGTGGAGGTAGAGTTGGGAGAGAAAGTTTCTTAGATTTTGCTGTTAATTCATTGACAATCTTGGGTAAGTCTTTGTGGCTCCCTGAGGCTGTTTCCCTCACCAAAAAAACAGAGGAGTTTGGATAAAATCAAATCATTTTCAGACTTTTATTTTAAGCACCAAAACCTTTCTTCAAATCGTATCTTACTCGGAAGTATAATACTGAATGGGCATGGCGGCTCCCTTCCCACAAAATAGCATGAAAACCACGAAACCAGATCATCTAAGATCCCTTCCACGTCTAATAGTCAGGATTTCAAGTCCCCTGCCTCTGACACACACACGCTGGGCTCAGCCGCCTCTCCCAGACCAACCGAGGAGCTGAACTGACTCATCCCAGCACCAATATGCTCGTCACCTCATTGACTAAAGAACCATGGTGGCAACCAGAATCCAGGGGCCGAACAACTGTTTGTGGGTGAAGAGGACACGTTTATTTCATTTACATGGTCACTAAGGCTACAGCAGAAACAACGGTGTTACAATAGGCAAGCACTACTGTCTGTGGCAACACACAGCGTTTCTTAAACAGCATCCAAGCCTCACAGGTTATGTTTGCATTAAAAAAAAAAAAAAAACCTTATGAACCAATAGGGAAGCAGCTAAAGGCCAATTTTAAATGCCAATGTAAAACAACTTTCAACTTGAAAATACAACTGAAATGCAACTGCTAGGAGCACTATAAGAAAAGGTGACCCAACTAGGGTAGAAAGAAAAGACAGGAAGTGGTAAATAAAATACAATAGCCACATTTAAAAACCTTGTGATTCCCATAGGGAGTGGGGTTGGGGAGAGACTCCTTTCCTTCAAGCCTCTGAACATGGGCCTTGCTCAGGAGAGGCCTGTTCGGCAGGGGAGGCAGCTGGTACCTGTGCAGACTGTGCAGCAGGTGAGCGCTGCACACAGGAGAGGAAGCGTCCATGTGGTTTCCTGCTAGGGACAGCAGGCCTTGTGTTTTAAGAGGCAAAGGCATAGGAGGGTCACCTCTTACTGCCAGAAGCCTCTCACACATTCTAGGCCGGCCCTTGAGACACCTGGCTGGTAACCTCGACTTAAATGTTCTTAGAAAACGTGACTAGAAATTAAATAGCTGGGATTCTTACCATGTTATTCCAAACTCCGAATGGAGAATCAGTCACTGCTCCATGACCTAGGGTCCATTTTTAACTGTGCTGTTAGCCTTTCCTTGGTGAACTCACTTGGGCAGGTGCAGCTGCAGCCTTGGGGATGGGTCACTTGAACAGGCACTCGCTAAATGAAATCCTGCAAGAGCACCTTCAAATCAGCCCTAAGAGATGAGGAGAGGCCAGGGCTAGAGTTAACCTCAACAAACATGGAATTTAATCTCCTAGCTTCACGCACAGCAGCCCGAAGTGTATCGGCTGTCTCAAGAGCCTGTAATCTTACTCTAGGGTATATTCTTGATTCCCATTTCAATATATTCGATAGCTGGATATTGTCTTAACAGATCTCCCAGCACCATGTTTTTCGTTCTCCTTCAGATCTGCCACAGCACCTTTTTAAGTCTTAGAATATGCTTTGTTAACATAGGAATCCACAGTGAGCATATTAGCAGAATAACTCAAAAAAATTTTCTGTAGGGGCGCCTGGGTGGCTCGGTGGGTTAAAGCCTCTGCCTTTGGCTCAGGTCATGATCCCAGGGTCCTGGGCTCGAGCCCCGCATCGGGCTCTCTGCTCAGCGGGGAGCCTGCTTCCTCTCCTCTCTCTCTGCCTGCCTCTCTGCCTACTTGTGATCTCTGTCAAATAAATTAAAAAAAAAAAAAAATCAGGTCCTTGGTCCTTAGCCACTTGCCTTTTAAAAAAAAAAAAATTTTTTTTTCTGTACTTCCTCACTAGAAAAATCCCAGTGGATTAAGGCAGCCCTCTCATATTTTAGACTCAGATTAAGGCCAAAGTAAAGAAATAAGGTAAATACTGAGAAAGCGCCAGGATAAAGTTCAGAGATGAGGAGGACATCCTGGCTGCTCACTGTTAGTACCTCACTGCTTCACACCAAGAGCCGCCTCGTGGGGGCCTGAAGAAAGCTGGCGTGGCCCTTGGCCAACCCCCGTTCTCTGCACACAGACCTCTCCCATAGCAGCTCCCGGCCTCAGCCTTACATTGTGCAGGTCTCACCAGCACGCTGGCTTTCATCCTCACCTCCCCCCAGCAGCTCCCCACCTGCGGGCCCCAGCCGGCCTTGCTGGGTTTTCCTAGTGTTTCAACTGGCCAAGGTCTAAACCATCAGACCTTAGGAACAGGAGCAGTGTGTCGACACACGGTGGCTGGAACACACTCATTTTTACAAACTGGTCTGAATGTGGTCTGGCCTCCCTGCTAGCAGGTGAAGGGGCGCCTTCTCCCAAAGAACAGGCCATTGTCAAACACCTGCTGGATGGCATGTGCAGCTGAGCTCAGCTCTTCAGGTACTTTACACAAGCTAGGCAGAGAGTGCATCCAGAAAGTGACCCTGGAAAAGCCTGTCCTGGAGTTGAGGCCCTGAGGGAGGCTCTGAGCAGGTCACTCTTTAGAGCCCGGCCAACCCACCAGAGATGCTGGGCACTACTCAGGACAAACCTCTAGGGAGGAAGCGCATGATGTAGCTCTCCCGCAGACCTGTGCGAAGGAAGGGTGCCCCAGAGTGACGCCGGGAAAGAAAATCCACCTCTGAGAAGAGCAAGACTAGTCAAGAAGTGACCATTACTTTGGTCTTGCTTCCTTGGCTGGTTTTGCAGGTCTACAGAGCAGAGGTTGGGCGCTCGGTGTGGAGGGAGGATGACCTCCAGTCAGGCACATGATCCAGCCACACCCATGTCAGCTTCTACTCCGAGGGTCTCTCAGCCCACCCACTTGCTCTCATCCAAGCACAGGAAGCAGCACTTTCTGGACACCTACTCCTGCCTCAACATCTCCCCATGCAGGGCTCTGCTTAACCAGCTCTGCAGATGCCACTGTGGGCTTAAGGGGCCAGAGCACCGGCTGCTGGGGGGGGCGTGGCTAGAAGCCAGAGGTAGTTTACTGTATTTACTACTGATGCTCAGTTCTTTGGATGAGGAACACCACCGCCCCCACCGCCAACGATTGTTAAGATGCCTGATTGCTTTGCCTTTTTAGCTTTAGAGAGAGGTGAGGGGCAAAACCACGAACGAAAGGTGTTCCAGTGCTTGGGCACTGTGGGGCACCTGCTTGCCAAGGTCCAGAGTAGAACAGAAACCCGAGGTTCCCTTCGCCAAAGTTCAGCTTCCCGGCAGCACCTCGAACTGCTGCTGTGTAAGAGGGAAAAGGGAGGAAGAGGGAATAAACCACAGGGCAAACAATTAGAATGTGTTAGCAAATGCTACCATGCGGAACACTAAACTTTATTCACTTTATTTATATATTTAACAGTTCTAAAGTATTTACTTCCTGCTTTGACAAAAAATGAAAAATATAGGAGCACTGACTGACTCCTCTTTAGGAGAAAAGGGTTATATGTACAGCTACGGAGAGTTACGGTTCCTCCTTTACATACAAAGAAAAATATTAATAAAAAAGTGCTTCATTGATCGAAAAGGGCTAAGAGCTGCAAGCATTTATTCACACTGTACATCAGACCCAAGAAACCCGTATCATAACCTCTTGGCACCTGTCACTAGGAACTGCACAATCTTTAATTAAGACTGACTTCTCCCCACCTGCACGGCCAGACCATACAGAGTGTGGAGAAGAACTACACCCTGTTTCACTAAAGCCAGACTCTGAGCTACCTGCAGCCACTAGGAAGTCAGAGACTCATTCTGATGCTCTTGGCTTTGCCTGGACTGACAGCTCCAGGGGAGGCTCTGGGCCACCTTGTAACCACACCCAGGCACACACAGGAGCCACCTTCCTGAGACACAACTTGCCTTGGCCAGGGAATTGCTTCCAAAGGGTCAGAGAGTTCCCTGGCCTCATCCCCATCTGCTCACCACGATCCGCCATTACCAGTTAGCAGCTTTTAGCAGAGCCAAGCATGGCCCTTCCCCAAGAGGGAGGGCAGGCACAAAACATGGATGCCAAGATTACAAAGCACAAACCTTCCCCACACTCACTCTACCACAAATATTCTTGATTTAAGGCTCTTTTTTTTGGGACCACACCAAACTTACTGGGAAAGGTGCCCCAAATCTCCTACGGGCTGTGTCACAAATTTTCTAAAGAACCCTGCAGAGTCACCAAGTGTCCCCTCACTGCTGGCCAGGAGCACAGGAGCAGGGCAGGGGGATCGCTGGGCCCTTCCCACTGCCCCAAAAAGGGAAGGGAAGGAGGAGGAAGGCTGATTGTATAGGACATGCTCCCTTTTCCAGAGGCTTGCACTCTAAAAGGCTGATTCTACCCCTTAAGGGGGAGATCCATGATTTGTTTGGTTTGGGAATGGGGAATTTTTGGAACCCTGAGTCTGGATTTCCCTGTGCTGTTCAAGGAAGAGAGATTGTTTGGGGGACCAGGCCCCGGAAGGGGCTTTCAGGTGTGCCCGGGCTCAGGGCAGGCTTTGGCCTTGGCCACAGCAGCAGGACACCGCACTCTGGCCAGTATGCACTCTTATGCCTGAGAGTGGGAAGTACTACACAGCCTGGCCGAGGGAGTCCTACTCCTGACCGTGAAGGGAGCCCTAGACCATCCAGGGTCAAGTTAAAAACAAAATCCCATGCAAGAGAGAACATGGCCACCCCCATTCCCAGTCCCTCTCATTTGCTTCAGAGAAACAAACACCTTCCTTCCCCGAAAGGGGGCCTGGAAGGGTTCCATTTACTCTGTGTCCCTCCCTCAAATGCCAATCCCATTTATCTCTGAGGTCGGACAGGCCCAGCTCCTCTCAAGAGAGAGAAGGCACTCAGGGCAGTGCTCTGAAGGAAGATGCTTTCAGCCTCCTCAGCAGCAAAGGTTTTTCCAATCAGCTCTGATGTGGCAGTAGCATGAGAAATGGTCACAAACATCCGCCCTGGCTTGCTTCCCCCCACTCACTCATCTGGGGCCTCCACTCCTGACTCTGACCAGCCTCCTCCCATCCTGAGGAACCAAGCCAACCTTCAGCATCACAGGACAACAGGCGGCTCAACAGTTTACAGGGGGCCTGGCAACCTCTGGTCTTTCATTAAAAAAAAAAATTTAAGACAACCAGGGGACTTCTTTCTTTTTTGGAGGCAGAAGATGGAAAAGGAGGGAGGAGGAACAACAGGAAAGAAAAATCGATCTACAATCCAGTGGTACATCCCAAATTTCTGTCACTGCACAGGTGGTTCCATGCCCCCATTCCAAAGTGCACGGGCCTCTCGGTCTGTCCAGGCTGTGTGGGCCTGTCAGAGGAACAGCAGCTTGGCCTCTGCCCGCCCCAGGTCACTGAGCTTCAGTTTGAAGTGGCAGCAATGGGCTTATCCAGTTCAAGGTCAATGCTGGAGCTTGTGGGATGAAGGCTGCTATAGCAAGACTTGCACACTCGACTGGGTTCAAAGAGCTGCTGGCTGGGAACTGGAACCTTCTGATTACAACAACTGGAGCAGAACACATTCCCACAATTCCTTGAGATGGGAAGAAGAAAACAAAACACAGTTAGTTTCGGTCGCAGGTATGGTGTGAGGAAACCAACTTCAGAAGACAGAACTTGGTTGTGGTAATTCGAATGTGCTGGAGACTCCTCCAAGACTGAACTGTCTCATTTGTCTAGCCCAGGAAAAGCTGGGGTGGGGGTGGGGAGCAGGAAGTCCCTGCCTAGTGTAGCTGCACAGCACTGTGACTTTAGGGCCAAGGACACTTGGCTGTCTCACCATATGCCTCAAGGTTACAGGTGCACAGGGGGGATGCTGCTCAAGAGAGATCCAGGAGAACAAAAGGGCCCCACGCAGCAGTAGGTTCTAGAACACTGGCTAAGTCCTGGCCCAAAAAACCCAGTGAGCCATACCCACTTGGGCAATGGCCTCTGTGTAGCTCGTGGTCACAGAGAGACCAGAGTCCAATGAAACTACCTCCGAGCCCTTCAGAGAAGACAAACTACCTAGCCAAGCTGGGGTGGGGTGAGGAGCCTTGTCCAACAGGCTACATCCCCAGAGGCTCGGAGGCAGCAACATGAAGAACAGACTGCTGCCATCTAGGACTGCCCTGCTGCCAGCATGCAAAGCCAGAAGACAAGCAACACATGCTCAAGGTGAAAGGACAAGAGAGCACAGATGAACACACGTGCACAAACAACCCCCCTTATTAGATAGGTGTCAGTCAATTACGGCTCACTCCCCTGCCCCCATGCATTTACCAGGAACTGTCAGAGCTCCACCCGAAGGCCAGACTGTACTCAGGCCTCAGGGCTCCCTCTCCTCCACTTAAAAGCCCAGCTCTGACGTGTCCATGCAGCAAAGGTGCCCACAACCAAACAACTGCCCTTCAGAGTTAAGAGGAAAAGGAACTGGTAGAGAAGTTTCTGCTCACCTTACAACCCCACTCTGCTAGGCCCTGAAGTACAATTCAATCTCAATAAACCCAAGAATGGGAGACTTCAAGGAGCCTGACATAGCCCACCAAAGACCTGGGGAAAGCAGCTGAAGGGAAATGCTCCCCCTTAGCCAGCATCACTCGCTACCTTTTCATTTATGCTCCTCAGAATAGAAACCCACAGAATGTAAACTAAGGACCACCTGGGCACAGAGGAGAGAATACTAAATACCCGTTGGGGACCAAAAAAAAAAAAAACCCCACAAAAGGAAAGGCTAGACATGGGTCAATGGAAGGACAGAGAACTAAAACAAACACACATAACTTCATCTTCTAGAACGCAGTAAGAACCTCATGTTTCTGAAAAGCATGAATCAGCAAGAACCTGTGGTTTCAGAGAAAAATTACCTAAATCTACTTCTAAACATCTGCATTTATTTAATATACCTGCTGGAGTTCATCCTGATATGAATCTGACCAACTAAGCTTTCCTATCTGGCTTTTTTCAGGGGATCCTGACAGACCCCAAGTGGAACTCTCCACTAAAGTCTTCCCTGCTTAAACAGTTCTCTGGAAAGACCACCTCTGTTCAGTCCTGGTCTCTTTGTTTTAAAAAAAAAAAAAAAAAAAAAAAAAAAAATTTTTTTTGGAGCAGCAATGCTGTCTGACTCTCATATTATGAAGCATCATTCTAGGATCCCACTGAATGACTAACCCAAAGTAAATAGCTCTGAAAACCCAACTGGCTCTGCCACAAGAGCAGCCCCTGCTGAAGCCCAGCTTCTAAGTCATAAGCAGGATGGCTCCACTGACCTGTGTGGTCAGGAGGGGAGCACATGGCTGCAGTATGACTCAACCCTGTCTCCCCAGTTGGCTGCTTTGGTTTCCCCCCAAGCCCACCTGCCTGCCTGCCTGCGCTCCCAGCCCCAGGCTTCATCCCAGTGAGTGCAGAGAGGGGGAAATGGCAGCGTTAGTGTGAAGTTATTGTAGATGTGCAGACATCACAGACAGGTTGTTGCAAATGCTCACCACGTTTGATCAACACGGTCAGTGTCCCTGCAAGGAGGGGAGAGAGAGCTCAGAGGAGAAGCCAACCAAAGACACACGGGCTTGGGGTGCATGGGAGGGAGATATATGATCCTGAAGCATCATTACTAGACAAAGAGGTGGTTCCATTTTCTACCTGGGTTCTCTCCTGGATGAGCTATATCAGGATTCAGATAAACTTCCTACCCCAAGAACACTGCACATCCTCCAGTCAGTCACCACCCCAGCTGGGGCAAAGCATTCCTAGCAGCTAACTACCCCAACCAAGAAGAAAGAAGTCGGGAGCCTTAAGTATTGAAGACTATATCCCTAGATGTCCCTACCAGTCCCCACAGCTAGGTCTCCTCACTACTACCACAGACAAGTTTGGAGTCAGGGAGCAGGATAAGGAGTAGGAAAATGAAGTTCCCTGCCCACAGCAGGAAAAATTTTCTGGCTCAGGGCAGCCATGTTGAATGGGAAGAACTGGTAGGAATAAGAAATGGTAGTCTGGGTGGCGGCTGTTGCTCTGCTAATCCAGGAAGCAAAACAGAACAAAAGGGGACATCATTTGCACATTTTAAAATTTAGTCATGATCACTCTGAATTGGAAAAAAAAACAAATGCAAAAACCAATTTCAGAGGCACAAAAGATGAGCTGGAGTCCTGTAGACCCCAGGTTCTGCCTCAGAGGGGACACTGCCAGCCAGACGCCTGCATCTCTCCAAGCTGCAAGCTCTGTGGGTCAAACCTCAGCCTCCAAACTCTGGCCCATCCCACCCCCACCACACACCCAAACGGCACCTGCAGTGGTGCTTCCTGCTGGCGAGCCAGAAGGCGCTGTCACACGCATAGCAGTGGGCAGCCAGATGGTCAGGGAGCCAACGGGTCATCTGTAAGACAGGTGGGGCCAGGTTAGTGACCGGAGATGGGCCATCGAGCTGGAGCCAGCAGAGCCATGCTGGGGGCAGCAAGAGTCACAAGGACCATACTGGCTCCAGCGGCACCAGCCCAGCAGGTTGATGTCAGCAGTACAAGAAAGGCGTCCAAATCATTTCCCTAGCGGGGACTCCAAACTCCCCTGAGATAAAGTAGCAGGCAGCAGCACCCTGGGTCGCCGTAAGACCGGGCAAGGCTCCAGTTCAGAGAGGCAAGGAGGAGAGAGAACCAGATTGCTGGGTCTCCCTGGCTCAGAAATTCTTGGCTCGATGGGGATTCACAGAGGTTCAAGGCTAAGTGTGCTATGACGTTATTCCTCAGCCAGGGGCACGGGACAGGGATGGGGGTGGAGAAGAACCGTAAAACAGTTGCATGGACGGTACTCAGAACAGGGGCTGAGCCTGTACCTCCGTGTCCTGTTTATCCACCTGCTCCCAGCTGGCTTCAGAGAAAATCTCTGTGCTGCAGCGAGACAAACAGTTCTGATCCAGATTGCTTTCCGAGTCGGGGATTGAAGTCTGTTGGCAAACAAACAGAGCTGAACAGAATGAACCTGGCTCCTCCCAGAAGAAAGGGCTTAGTAAAGAAGGGAGCACTGGGGACTTTGGGTGGGCCTGAGTATTAAGGGCTGCCAATCTGTTGGCGCCTCAGCCATCAAGAAATGGGTTGAGCAGGTGCAGAGACAGGGCTGAACTCAGGTGGAAGAGAGATGCACAGGTCTAAGGCTGTGTGCAGTGACTGCAGGGGAAGGACAGGCCTTGGGCTCCAGGAAGTGAGTGGGGTGGAAGTGACCAGGGTGGCGTGTGAACTCTGAGTCAGCTGCTCCAGCGAGCCTGTTACTCCAACCCTGCCACTTACATCTGCGTGTTGAAACTGAGTGCTTTGGGCATGTCCTCCTTTCTCTGAAGGACTCTTTGGGAAAATGAGAAACCATCATTAGTATGAAGGAAATACCAAGAAGTCAGTTTGAATTGAAAGTCATTGGATGAGCCCGCCTTTAGTGTACGCTGACCGCTTCAGAGCCAGGCTCCCTCTTGTACCTGAACACATCAAGTCAGACCCAGCCTGTGAGGAGAGCACCTCCCTGAGAGCCTCCCCTCACGTAGCCCCTCCACCCCCACTTCCAGTCACCAGGCACCATCAGTGCTAACTCCTCCACTGTGCCAGAAACCAATCCCATCTTCCCATTTCTACTGCCATCACCTGCCACAGGGCAGGTACAAATATTTGTTAAACTACAGCCGAGGGGAGCTCACGGTTTACTAGCTACTGGGGTAGGACAGGCATCATAACTGGACAGAAATATTTGACACTGCCCTACTAATGTCATTCCACCCAGGAGTTCATGCCTTTTCTTAAAACATGATCCTCTCTCCAAAGAGATCTGACCAGCCACATACCGAGCGCTGTCTTCCTTATTCTAACTGCCTAAACAGGACCCCTGTGGCAAGCAAGCAAGGCAGGAAAGAGCAACAGGCCGACTGCCATTCACGGCTGATGCTGATCTCCAGCCTCTCCAAAGAACTACTCTGGACCTTTCCAATTCTTCTAGAAATCTGTACCAATCACTGTGCACAGGGCACAAAGAGTACCCAGCCTCAGTGTGCCCTCTCCTGGGGCAGCTATGGAGGCACTGTGGTCTACTCACCACTTCATCCCCAAAGTCCCCATTGAAGCGGAGGGAGCCAGTCAGGTACTGGCTCTCCAGGCGACTCCTCAGCTCCTGTACTTGTTTCTTCAAGGTCTCCACTTCCTGCTGATGGCCTGACTCAATCTGACGCAGGCGCTGCTGGATAGTGTCCGTGTACACAGGCATGCCATCGTCGTCCAGGTGGCTGCGGGAAGGCTGGTCAGGGCTGCCCGTTGTAGATGGCCTCCCCAAGTGGCTGTGCAGCCACTTGTGGTGCAAGTTCCTCGAGTGTAAGTGGGCAGAGCCGCAGCTTGTAGCAGACAGCTGGCGGCTCAGTGAGTCCTTGCTCTTGCCAGCCTCCCCATTGGTGCAGTGCCCGTTGGGGGTGGCGTGCTTCTGGAGAGTGCTAAGCCCTGGGGGCTGCTCTAAAGCCTTATTTTCGGTCTCTGGGGCACCATTGCACACAAGCCCCTCTTTACATTCGGCTAAAGGCAAGGCACAAGGAGAATGTGTTGGGCTGTGGGTGCTGCCAGGGGAAGTCCTATGTACCACAGATGCCACCTGGGGCCTCTCAGCTAGGCTCTTCCCCGAAGGCCGGGGCTCCATAGTTTGAGGAAGCATGTGCTTGCCACTGAACCAGCCACTGTTTACCAGGCAAGGTGTATGATGGCCTTCGGGCCCACTTTCCGACTTGACTTGATCTTCTGTTAACATGTCCATTGAACTGTCTGTATTTGGTCCTCTAGCCTCAAATGGGACTTGGGACGGCAGCAGAGAACTTGAATGTGAGGTACCATAGCCAACTTCTGCATCTACTGGGACTGGAAGAAAAGCTTCCTCCCTACCCTCTGTGGTAGCTCCTATTTGGGGCTGTTCCATAGGGACCTCCTGGGCATCCTCTCCCTCGGGGGACTCTGGGAGAAAACTGGGAAGAACACTGTGCCCACCCTGCTGCTCAGGAATATCGTGGGAGAACACAGAGAGGCCAGTGCCTGGACGGTTCACCAGAGCAGCATCACCCAGTTCTGGTTCTTGAGGAAAGATAATGGCCGAGCCCTCAGGGGTCTTCGCCCTGATCTGCTTTTCTAAGACAGCCTCCTCTTCGACCTCCTGCATCTCAACGCTCCCTCTATGGGGAGGTTCCTCTACCCCACTCTCCTCTTTGGTGGCCTCTTGCAAAATGTTCTCCATCTGCCCCTCAGCCACTCCAGCCGCGACAGACAGCTCGGCACCGCCCAGCACTTTGGTTGGCTTTCCCAGGCTGTCAGGATCGAGAGGCTCCTCCCCAGGACCAGCTAGGCTGCTCAGTTCCATTGAGCGCCGGTGCTCCTGCCACTTCTCATTCAGACTTGGGTCACTGCTGCGCCGGCTGGCCAGAGGCACTGTGTTGTCACCAGCTGTAGTCAGATTGTCAAATGATCTAGTCTTTGGTAGCCTAAACAAAAGGAGTTTGAGGGAAATGAGAATCTGAGGCTGTTCAGAGGAAAGTAGGAGACAACTGGTTGTTTCATAACTGGGTCCACTGTAGCTCCTCAAGAAGCCCTGGCATCTCCAAAGTGTGGCTCAGACTGACGGGCAAAAAGCCCCAGGATTGGCCCTTCTTCAAGTCTGCAGATTTCCTCTCAACCTACCCGACTGGCCCCACCCCACCCCACCCCACCCCGTGTCCCAAATAAACAAACAGCAAATGCTGTGTTTAAAAAAAAAATCATGATACTGCTCTATTTCTCCACTAGTGGCAAAGGAAAGTAGCACTGCTGGTTTTCTATTACAATATTTTAAATTAACATGTTGTTTAGCAGTCTGAATTCAGTAAAGTTAATTCTCCAGTGGCAAAGCCAAACTTTGTATCATCTGATAGCATTTGCCTTTCAACCCCAACAGGACAAATGACAGCAGAAAGGCAAGAGCACAGAGCAGTGGCTGAAACTCAAGCCAGAGGGTCACAAGGAACCTAGAGACTTGCACATTAACTGAGAAATGGCTTGTTGCATGTAGCCCAGCAATATAGTGACAGGGCCCAGTGCCCTTCAGGAAATGAGACTCTCATGGCCTCAAAGCCTGAAACCCTTATAACCTGCCCTGAGAAAACTTCAGAGATCTAGGTGAGACATGTGGAGCCAGACACCATGATCTCTGACCGTGCCTGTGGGTGCCCAACACAGAAGTGCGGGACTGGAGGCTCGGCATCAAACCCGGGCTCACCGGCTCAGGGGCGGATCATCAGGGCTGGTGCCGGGGGCTGGGTACGGTGCACAGCTGTCGTCCACGGGGGTGGATGGGGATGGACAGGGCAGGTACGCTGCGCTCCACAGCATCAGGTTACGCACGTGACACACAGGGTACAGCACCTGACAGGAGAACAGAGGGGATACAGGTTTAAACAAATCCAGAAATGAGGGTCAAAAAGTCACCAAGCTGTAATATCCAACAGGTGTGCACCAGCTGCATTTCCCACCTGAGCGCCTCTTGTGGGCATGAAAATCTAAAGGATTTTTAAAAATCTATTCCTCATTACTTCTTAGGTCCCCTTTATTGAATGACCTACTTTCATATCAGCTTGGTTTTAGCTGCTTTTACTTCATATGAAAGTGAGTCGTTTCACTAAATGGTGACTATGTTTCCTTGTACAAAAACGTGGCTTCAGAAAACACTGTCAAACCTATTGTACAGGATCACTTAAATTAATTATGGGAAAAGAAGGGAATTTTCTTCCTATACTGTGACTTCCCCAGCAGGCACAGTGAAGGAAAGAGAGAAGCAGTTAGTGTAAATCTTTCCTTTGACTACTTAAATGTAGTGAGAAGAATGTTAACAGTCCAGTGAAGCAATACAACCTCTCATGAAGCTTCCTTTTGACTTCTTTAGAATTTAAGATGCATTCTGACAAAAGGAACATCACCATGTATCAACACAGATGTGCGTGCCTCCTTTCCTCTGCCTAACTGAAGGTGCTCCTTTGCAGAAAAAAGTCTACCAGCTCTCCATGTGAGCAGAAAATCACATGGACACACATGCTAGTGTCAAACACACTTCTGCTCTCAGAGACAGGAGCTGCAGTGTGTATCATCACCTGATGGCACTGGAATGGTGCCAGGGGCCTGGTGGCAGCTCCTAAGCTATCATGGGCACCCAGGGGACAACTAGGTTCCCCTTCCATTTGTTAGAACATGTCAAGAGTGAGTTAAGCTCTGAAAGAGGTGCCAAAAAAGATTCGTGTCCGGAGTGGCAAAATAGAGATGGGTATTAAATCAAAACACCCTAAGCAAAAAGGGGTTAGAAGCAGATCAGAGCAGCACCAGGAAACAAGCCTTCCTCGGGACAGATGAAAAAACAGAGAAAACAAGTTTGCTTGAGAAAACAGAGATGCCTCTTAGAAAACAGTCACTACCGAAAATGGCTCCCATATGTCACCACCCCCAAATTCCTTCTGCTGATCAGAGAGGAAAGGCTGAAGGATACATACGGCTTCCGACTGAGAGGAATACAGTAGGTTTTTGAAAGCCTTGTTGCCTGCCCGAAGCAATGACCACACAGAACACGTTCGCTCCTGAGTATGCTTTTCCCCTCTCTCCTTGGCATTGTTGCACAGGAATGTTCCAAACAGGCAGGAATAGGTATGTTGCACCAGTTTCACCTATGGGAGTCCAAAATCAAGCAACAGGGTATATGTCTCTGGGGGAAGGGTAGCCCTGCTGAGCCCCCTTCCCCAACACCCCCGAGAGCACCTCAGAATTCACACTCCATAAGTATGGGGAAACCAAGTAAGCCATGGAAGAGCTGCCTCCTCGTACCACCAACCCCAACCACTAGCATTCCTGATTCAAAAGAGCAAAGACAGATCGCTGGCACCCCACTCCTCTTGGCCTCCCTGCAACCAGTTTGAGAAGTCCTGAGTTAACAGCCACACTCCAGAGCGACAGATCATCATCACTCGGGTACAAGAGCAGGTCAGTGTGCAACCCAAGTCTGAACTGAAAGCACATTTCTAAACAGCTTTTCACTCAACAAATCACTCCTGAGCATCTGACACACCCCAGACATTTCTAGGGGTACTGGGTAGGCGACAACTCTCAGATGACTCTCCTGCCCTGACAGAGCTGGTTCTAACTGTGGGGGAGAGGTGACCACTGCTGTGGACCACAGTAAGGCAGGGTGAGAGGGACAGGGCACACACAGGGCAGCAGGAGAAAGATGTGAGAGAGCAAGTTAAGAGGGTATCTGAGGGGGAAATGCTCCAGGCAGAGGCCAACAGCCAGCACAATGGTCTTGAGGTGGGCGCATGGTTGCAATTTCTTTTTTTTTTTTTTTTTTTTTTAAGATTTTATTTATTTATTTGACAGACAGAGATCACAAGTAGGCAGAGGAGGCAGGCAGAGAGAGGGGGGAGCAGGCTTCCTGCTGAGCAGAGAGCCCGATGCGGGACTCGATCCCAGAACCCTGGAATCAGGACCTGAGCCGAAGGCAGAGGCTTTAACCCACTGAGCCACCCAGGCGCCCCTGCAATTTCTAAGAACAGAAGGAGGCCAATGTAACTGAAGGACACTGCCCAAGGAGGGCAATGGCAGGAAATGAATCTAGAGAGGTAAGCTCTAGGACAGCTCTGCAGTCCATTTTAAGGACTGGCTTTTACTGTGTGAAATGGAAATCATTGCAGGTTCTTGAGCAGAGGAATGACACGGTCTCAGTTATGTTTTAGAAGGACTGCCCCTAGATCCCTCTAGGAGCCAGGGTGGCTCAGTTAAGCAGCCGGCTCTTGATTTTGGCTCAGGTCACAGTGTCAGGTAGTGAGATCAAACCCCACGTCAGGCTCTGTGCTCAGCAGGGGATCTGCTTCAGATTCTCTCCCTCTCTCTCTGCCCCTGCCCCTGTTTGTGTGCTTTCTCTAAAATAAATGAATGGATAAATCTTTAAAATAAAGAAAAAAAGAAAGATCCCTCTAGTTGACTCTCCAGAATTAAGGCAGGAGATGGTGATAACTTTGGACCAGTGTAGGAATAGCAGAGATAGCAAGAAGTAATCAGGTTTTAGATAGATTTTGGAAGCAAAGCTGCAGATCTGCTGACAGACTGAACATGGAGTATGAAAGGGGGAAGAGGAGAGTTGGGCAGGCCATATGAGTTTCTGCCCTAAGTAAATGGAAGGACTGAGTTGCCCCCTAGAGGGGGCGAAGACTTCTGGAAGATCAGATTTTGGGTGGGAAATGTGGAACTCAAGAACCAAGCTTTGAACAGGTTAAGTGTGAAATACCATTAAGACATCCATGTGGAGATACTGAGCAGTCATAGTTGGGTATGCGAGTCTGGAGTTAAGTGGAGAGATCTGAGCTGAAGACATAATTATAAATGTAGGAATCATGGGTAGCAATCAGAGCCATTGGGACTGGAGGAAATCCCCAGAGAGGCAGTAAGATACAGAAGCACCTTGGAGGCTGAGTCCTGGAGCATTCCAACATTCAGTACTGGGAAGATATGAAGGAACTAGCACAGGAGACAAAAAGGACCAGCTAGGGAGGCAGAGAAGAAATAAGGCAGAGTTTGTACTGGCAGTCAACTGAAGAAAGGGTTTCAAGAAAGGGGTTATTAAACAGTGCCAAAGAGTAAACTGAAGAGAGTCAAAGAAACAAAACTCCAGTCATAAAATAAGTCAGTCCTGGAGATGTAATATACAGTATGGTGAATATAGTTAACACTCTACTGCGTATCTGAAAGTTGCTAAGAGTAGGTCTTAAAGTTCTCACAAGAAAAAAAATTTGTGTGGCAATGGATGTTAATTATTGTGATTATTTCACAACATACACAAATACAGAATTATGTTGTATACCTGAAACTAGTATTACATTGTCAATTATGCCTGAATTTAAAAAAAAAAAAAAAAAACTTCTTAGCACGATGAAGACAGAGAGCTGATCACTGGATTAGCAACATGAAAGAGCTCCGCTAAAGTGGCTGGGGGAACACCTGAACCTGACTGGGTTTAAGAGAATGGGAAAAAAGGAATTTGAGACAGTAAATGCAGAAGACTTGAGCTCTGCTGTGAAGAAATGAGATACAGGAAATAATTAATAGCTGGCAAGAGATGCAAAGCTGAGAAAGGGTTTTCAGGGGATGGGAGGTACTACTCCATGTCTGAGTACTAACGGCAACGATGTGGTAGAGAGGGAAATACGCCAGTGCAAAACGCAGAGGACAGAAATGCTGGCACCATGCAGCTGAGGAGAGGACAAGCAATGCAAGGCGGTGCAGCAGTGGATGGAGAGGCTGGAAGAGGGCAAAGACAGTGAGTCCTCTGTCAAAGGAAAGGGTGCAGTGAGTATGGGACACAAGCTGGGTCCGGGGTTTGGGGGGACAGGACAGTGAGGAGATTGGCAGATGGACTGGAGGGAGCCGAGGATATTCTATTATTTCTCTTTTATTTTTTAAAATCTCTACACCCATCGGGAGGCTCGAACTTACAACCCCGAGATCAAGAGTCAAATGCTTCACCGACTGAGCCAGCCAGGCACCCCCATTATTTCTCTAAATATTTAGGACTTCTATCATCTATTTTAAAAGCTAAGTATAAAACAAATCAAAGACTTTATGCAAACCTAACACATCTATATTCACTGAATAAACACATACTTCTTACTGTTTTTAATTAGAACTGGAAGAAAGAATGGCCCTTATTAAATTCTAAAAAGAATTCATAGTTTCATGTGAAAACTAACCCACTAACATTTGCATTGATACCCCCATAATTATAGAAGGTCTCCAAAATAAAGAATTACAAGCCCCAACTCACAAGGAATGCTTCGTTGAACTCAAAAGAGCAAGGAAATTGCCTCTGAAGCTGATGAACGCAGTCAAGCCACTGCAGAAACACAGGGCAGCGCTCGTTCAGGTCATCAGAGTTCTCCCCGTGACCACACCGGTCGGCAAACTTGTGACCAAAATCCAGCCACTCCATCTCCACGAGGACCTGGAAACCCTGCACGGAAACACCCGGGATAGACCATTTGTACTTATCTATGGAGACTATGACAGTCCTGAGCCTGTCAGGACTAACAGCAATAATCCCTTTCAATACCCTCCCAGTAAGCCCAACAGGAGGGCCTGACCCAGCCCCATAGCCAAGGGCTCCATGGAACACATCCTTAGGGCAATTTCCCACTTCACTCAACTCCATTCCATAATTATCAAATGGGTACTAATCATTTATCTAAGCCTTTCCTGAGTCTATACTTTCTTTCACTATGTAGTGTAAGAACCACATTTTTTCTAAACTTATTTTTTGATTTATTTTGTGTTATACTTACTAAGTCTTGTTTCTAATATCTTTCCCTACCCCAGATTTACATGTATTTTAGGGCAACTTTATGGCTTTTCTTCCATCTTTAACCCAACATGTGGTTTTTTCAGAGTAGGGCTCTTTCTCCACAGAACACTGTAGTGATATCCAGACCCATTATCAGGATGAGCATGCCAAGATCCTACTATAATATCCCCATTTTCCTGGAGTAGCCAAAACTTTCCTAAGTAAATAGACTACAGAGGAAAACATGTCTAATTTCTCAATACCTTGTTATCCACAATCTGCTCCATTTTAAAAGGCACAAGAACTGTGGGAGGCACCACCACAATTTAGCTCAAGGCAAAGGAGCAATAGTTTTAAAACAAATTTCACTCTCTTTAGGCCTAACCACCAAGACCAAAACTGATTCTAAAACCATCCAAGGTTTCGCCCACTCATTCTGATGTACCAAATCCTACTCTTGGGATGCACCCACCTCTATGGTTCGGTAATACGGATCCAGCAAGAGCTTAGCCAATGCCACAATCTGGGGAGTGCGGTCCCAGCCATCTGAGCAGTGCGCTAGTACAGGCCGCTGATCACGATCCACGGCGTGCACTACCAGAAGTGCCGACTTCAGGAGCACAGACAGGTGATGGAGCCATTTTGTGCTTTCAAGGGCTGAGAGCCAACTATAAAAATAAAAACAGAAGGGGAAAGGAAATGCGGATTTTTATGATTTACGGCATCATGCCAAATACCCATGAAATTAAAAGGCAATTCCCAAAGATCTTTCCCTCCAAATAAAACAGTGCCCAAACAAACAAATCTCTGTCTTTATAAAGCATGTATAAAGATGCAGGTAAACCCCTACTATGCAACATTGGACAGCTTTAGAAATAGGACAGCAATTAATAGAATTTTTGTTCTAAAAATCTTATGGCTAGTTTCTGAGAATGAGTATCTAGTATTTTTCAGTCCATGGTAGTTATATATCCTGTATAAGTAGTTCTTTCTGGAGTCTTCTGAAGGAAATAATAATTACGCCACTTGGTTAAAGTCACATAGTCAATTAGTGGCAGATCTTCTGAGACCTCAGCCAGGCTCTTTCTATGCCCCACCTTTGGGGAAGAGAGCACTACTGGCTGTGTAGCAAATACAAGTTGCTAATCCCCACAGCAGAGAAGCAAGCTCATTCTTGGGTCAGGCTTTTTCCCCAAAGACAATTGCGCTTCACCCTCTGGGTTGATTCCAACTGCGATGAATCTAATCCCTTACTACCAAGTGTTAGTACAAGTGGTTCAGGCAGCCATTTGATTGAATAAATCAAGGAATTCTGCAAAACTTGATGTGATCAGATCTACTGAACAGAACCCAGGGAAACAGCTATGGGCTCCAGCACAAATACCAGAAAAGAGAAAATTCTGTCTTCTCTGGCACCATTTCTGGCTTCCTGAAATAGTAAAACAGGGTCTTTTAAATATTTATCTGTCCGTATTTGTTTCACAGACCATTCCTGCTAATTTTTCTTGTATTCAACCAGTTCCCCTGGGTGGGCGGGGAGGGAGGGTTACTTCACCTACCTCACTGCAAATGCCAGCCATTCCTTTTTTTTTTTTTTTTTTTTTTTTTTTTTTTTTTTTTAAGATTTTATTTATTTGACAGAGAGAGAGAAATCACAAGTAGGCAGAGAGAAGGGGAGGAAGCAGGCTCCCTGTGGGGCAGAGAGCCCGACTCGGGGCTCGATCCCAGGACCCTGTTGGGATCATGACCTGAGCCGAAGGCAGAGGCTTTAACCCACTGAGCCACCCAGGCGCCCCCAGCCATTCATTTTTAACAATTAAAATGTGGCAATGTTCGTAATGAGAGAGGATAGTTTAGGACTCAGAAGCAAACGTAAAAGGATTTCACGAAATGGCAAGTTTAACCCTTTTTTACAACATGATGAATAAATTTTGACTCAAGGTAAAAACATCCCCCCCAGTTCACAGCAGATAAGTGTTACCTATAGGATGTCAAAAACCAAAGAATTAAAAATGAGCCAAAAACAATGTAGAATAGAAGAGGTCCCAGGAAAAACAAGAAGGCAGGGCTTCTGAGGACTGAGATTTGTTTTGTCCTCCACATCTTTAAACCTTTCAAAGGGCTAGATTTTTGCTACTGTGCTCCTAACATAGAAAGGAGAATGCCCACAGGGACTGAAAGTAAGACCGAAGTGTACCAAGAAACAGAAGAAAAGATACCTCCAAACTCATTAAGAAAGAAAGAAAAAAGGCAACGCAAAATTAAAGCTAAGGCCAAAGTCTTACTTTCCCGGATCCGGCATCTGTGTGCACAGCAACCGCAGAGACTGAAAACTCCTCCGAATTGAATGAATATTTGCCATCCCCATAAACACGACCTCACAGTTTGGGTAATACTCTGCAGAGAACAACAATAAAGAGAACAAAAATATGTTGACTTTAAAGCCCACATGGTCAAATTTAAAAGCAACAAACAAGCTATAAAGCAAATCCATTATAGTTGCTGATGAATGAAACTGCTGTTTTGATGCCTATTAGTCTAGTCCTTTTATCATAGGAAAAACAGTGCTTGAATTTTAGCTGTTTTTGCAAAAAGGAAAGTTAGATTTGTGAAGATATGGACATAAAACAGAAGTTTTTTGGGGTTTTTTGTTTTTTTTTTTTTAAAGATCTATAGCTTGCTATCCCATCTCAGGTTAACTTCTTGGGCCACATCTAACTTGTAGCTCTGGAATCTCTTCAAAAAGAAGCTGGCAGAAAAATGCATTTTATGTATTCACATATCACCTTCATACAACTGCTTTCGATTTCCAGTTGAGATCACATCCCAGTGAAGGAGCTTGGAGCCTCTCCCTGCTCCATCAGCGCACCACTGGCACTGAAGGGGTCCCTCCTTGGAGAATACATTCAGAAAGCAGGGGAGCTATAGGTCAGGACAGAGGTGCGCTGCTAGAGTCCTGTATTTGGTGCTTCACCTTCCACCCCAGCCTTTCTAAGTAGAAGCCATGTGGGAAGTTTTCTCTGAGGTCAGTGAGGAGTAAACCCACTGTCAAAGGCAACGAAAAGCTTTTAGAAGGCTGAGAAATTGAGCCACTAAAGAAGCAGCTTCCAAACATGAACAGGCCTTATTACGGGGAGGATTTACTTTATCATCTAAAGGTTAGGAAGGAAGATTATTTGGTTTCCCTGCACCTCCTCCTCCACTTCTTCCCTGAAAATTAACAACTGTTAAGAATCCAAACAGCTCCGGCTCTCTCAAGATAGGCTGAAGAACATAGTTTGCTGTTCATTTCAAATTGAGAACTAAGACCCAGCTGGGCATGGGCTGGGTTCATGAGAACAGTGTCGGGACAAAGCACCATACACCTCACCCGGGCATTCACAGCCTCCTCCTTTGGCTCGGTTTGCCACAGCTGCAGCATAGGAACGTGCGTCCAAGATCAAAAGCTTCTGCGGTTGGATGGCTAAACTGTCTGCTCCTGAAGCATTCGACAGAGAAGAATCTAGGAACATCACGGGCAGGAGTGAAAAACTAGAATGAACCCATCTCTCCCCAAAATTGTGCAAAATAATAACTAGAAACACCTCCTGCAATACCAAGAAACAAAAACCCTCAATTAAATGAAACCCACCTAACCAGAACCCTTAATACACAGGACTTCTCTATCTTCTGTTTTGTCTACCAGTCTCCTTTATCTCATTTCTACATGTATAGTCTTTTCACGAAGACTGGTGACTCCTGCCATGGTCTGGAGAAATTCCAGGTCCCCTATCACATACATATCCCATTGCTGTCACAATGACTAGAAAGACAACAGACACATTAGCCCTCTTAAGCCAAGTCTGAAATAGTTGTCTGGTTCACTGTCCAGACCTATGATTCCTCAAATAATCCCATCAACTGAAGCTTCACCCTCTCTCTCCTATGAAACAAATTATAGGTCTTACAAGGAAAAGGCCACTCAAGAAAAAGTTCTCAAAGATACTCTAAAAATTTCTGCTACTGGATCCAGGGAGCATCTTACCAAATTCCACATCAGAAAGGTCTCCCGCATGGGGAAAGTCTCGAGAACTGTTCCTAGTTGACAGCTTGCTGCCACTTGATCGGGAATCAGAGGCACAAGCTTTGGCTACCGACTGCACCAGGTGCTCATCATCAGCATTTCGCCAGCCCCACCAGCTGACCTCCGGCTGTCCACAGCGGGCAATGACAGCTCCATTACTCTGGTGCCTGTGCAAGGAACAAGACATGACAACTATACCCATCTCAGCCGCCCCATTCCGATGCTCTGTGTTCATACAAAAGTAAGGTAGTAGATTTTAAATGTCTTAATGAAGAGCCCGAATACAGGTAAGCGATGGGTTAGCTTCAAGTCCTCTCAGGGCAGAAATCTTCTATAGCATCAAGAGTAAACAACAAAACCTATCTAAGTCTTTCTCAAAAATTGATCATTTTTGAGGCCCTTGTAAAGTCAGCAACAAAATGATAAATGTGTGCTCTTAGAAAAACAAAATTTATATTTATTAAGCAAACATTTGAATCTTTAAATTTATTTTTGGAAAATTGGGTAAAAATATAATCTACAAATACTACACTAATTCTGCTATTCAATAATGTAACATTAATCTCTTCTTAATACTGCACCTGAATATCCTGGCATAATAGATGCTGATGCAGAAAAATTTGTTTCCACAACAACTTCTAAGGGCCCACTGCAGCAACCGTACACTTATGGATGGCTTGGGATTCTTTTTAAAACAAGATCCCACCTTTGGGACTCAAAACATTTACCTGGCCCAGAGTGGACCACTCTACAAAATCTTCTGAGATTTCATGACTCACAAATTGCTCTTATTATAGGCAGATAGCTCAACATATCAGTACTTTTCCTTAAGCTCTCAGAAGGAAAAGCATAAACCTCAGTAAGCCATACTTTGACCCTTTATTTTTATTTTTTGATAGATCCTTTTGTAAAAATTAAGACCAGAAATCTTACTCAAAAGTCTTTAAGGTGATATTAAAACCTAGTCTCTTGGGGCACCTGGGTGGCTCAGTCAGTTAAGCATCTGCCTTAGGCTCAGCATCTCAGGGTCCTGGGATTGAGTCCCGAATTGGGCTCCCTGAGTCTGCTTCTCCCTCTCCCTCTGCAGCTCCCCTTGTTTGTGCTCCCTTTGCGCTCTGTCAAATAAATAAATTCTTAAATAAAAAAATAAAAGAAATAAAAAGTAAAACCCAGTCTTTTCCTAGTTAGGAATTTAGTTAGGCAATTTTAGCAATTAAAAAGTTATAAAAGGGGGCACCTGGGTGGCTCAGTGGCTTAAGCCTCTGCCTTTAGCTCAGGTCATGATCTCAGGGTCCTGGGATCGAGCCCCACATTAGGCTTTCTGCTTCCCTCTCCCCCTCTGTCTGCCTCTCTGCCTACTTGTGATCTGTCAAATAAATAAATAAATGAAAATCTTTTTTTAAAAAAGGTTACAAAAGTAGTATTTGGCACAAAAGGTATAAAGTTCCAATAAATGCTACAACATGCATGAGTATGTTATGCTAAGTGAAAGAAGCCAGTCACAAAAGGCCACGTATTGTATGACTGCATTTATTAGAAGTATTCAGAATGGGCAAATCTGTACAAAGTAGATTACTAGTGACCTGGGGCTATGGGGATCGGGAAGGGAATAGGGAGTGACTACTAATGGGTCTGGAGTTTCTTTCTGAGAGGGTGAATATGTACTAAAATTGACTGTAGCGATGATTGTACAACTCTGAATATATTTTAAAAAATCAAACTACAGTGGCACCTGGTTGGCTCAGTGGGTTAAGCCTCTACCTTCAGCTCAGGTCATGATCTCAGGGTCCTGGGACTGAGCCCCACATTAGGCTCTCTGCTCAGCAGGGAGCCTGCTTCCCCCACCTCTCTGCATGCCTCTCTGTCTACTTGTGATCTCTCTGTCAAATAAATAAATAAAATCTTTAAATAAAAAAAATCAAACTACACATTAAAAGGGTGAACTGTGATATTCACAAAGTAGTTTTTAAAAAGTTATAAAAGTAACCGGTTCGTTGTAAAACTAAATTAGCAGAGTAAGTAGTAAGTAAAATGTTTAAATGCCCCTCAATTCTATCTCCCAGAGGAGAAGTATCCATGTCTTACTTCCCATTAAAATCTAAATACAGGGCCGGGTGGGTGACTCAGTCGGTTAAGCATTCAACTCTTGGTTTTGGCTCAGGTCATGATCTTGGGGTCCTGAAATGGGGCCCTACTTTGCACTCCAAGCTCAGCACAGAGTCGACTTGTCCCTCTCCTTTTGCTCTTCCCCCACCTCACACGCACTCTCAAATAAAATCTTTTAAAAATCTACATACATACATTCATACACATCTATAACACATACATAAGAGACAGATCTAAATAAAACATACTACTGAATCTATTTGTCATCTTTAAGAAACAATGTGAGAAAAATTTTTGTTTTTAATCCTAAAGCTCACAGGCAGTCAACGAAATTCAGCAAGAAACATATTCCACTGGAACCATCAGTTTACTTCAGTTTTTAAATCCTCCAGAACAGAGAGACAACAGAAAGCATTAGCCAATATGCTCAGTGGGCTCACCTGCTGAATGGAGCCCAACTGGAAATCAAACCTAATTCCTAAAATGCCTAGTAGCACAGGTAATAGGCACTGGGAAACAACAGAGCTGACTTATGCCAGACCTTCACAAAAGAGGCTGGCAAGGCCTTTCCTGAGCATCTTCTTTCTCTGCAGTGCTCCTAGCAATGGCCAAGAGGAACAGAAGATGGCACTCTTTAGCTTGGATCTTGGGTTTAAAGGGTCATAGCATTTCTAACAGCCAGCCTCAACTGAAACTGTTGCAATAAGCAGTTTTCTGCAGTCTTCCAAAATGCTTTTGACTGCATGATCAAGAACTAAAACAATACAGCTAAAAATCACGAAAGAGCATTTCTACCATATCAACAGAACCAAGGAAAAAGTATAAAAATGAAGATGTCCAATGGATGAGTCCCCTACTGAACACTGAATGCTTCAATTCTATATAGAAATACATAAATACTTAAACTATCCCTAAGTTAGTATTAGGCAAGCTCACTAAATGATTAGAAATTTCTAATAACCACTCAGTGCACAAAGGGGGGAGCTGTGAATTGCACTACAGATGGATGCCCTTTGCACCATCTTGCTGGGTTAGAGCAATCTTGGTCTTCAGTAATAAACCCAATTAAACACTCTCTCATCACAGTGGGGAAAAAACACTAATGAGGCGCTGGTTCAGCATGATGCTGTCAAGTAACTGCTGCTAGCAACTTCAGGAATCATTACTGCAGTCTACAGACAACCAAATTCAGTAAACGTATGCTGGATTCAGAAGCAGCTTGCCACCTGGCCTGGCAAAGCAGAGAGTGGCAGAGTATATCCCCAAAACAGTCTTCTATATACCCCTTACAAAACTTCCCAACCATTTAAACAACCCAGTTTGGGGCTCAGAGATTCAAAACACATGTTCCCAAATGGAGGCTAGTTCCTAAAAGCCTATCTGAGTTTGTGTGGACTATACCAAGAACTTTCTTTTTTTTTTCTTTTTTTTTTTTTTAAATACCAAGAACTTTCATTTGTAATCCTTTGAGAGCAGATTTTTTTTTTTTTTTTAAAGATTTTATTTATTTACTTGACAGAGAGAGAGATCACAAGTAGGCAGAGAGAGGAGGAAGCAGGCTCTCTGCTGAGCAGAGAGCCCGATGTGGGACTCGATCCCAGGACACTGAGATCATGACCTGAGCCGAAGGCAGCGGCTTAATCCACTGAGCCACCCAGGCGCCCCAAGAGCAGATTTTCTAAGAGAAATTGGAAATAAATTTCATTTATACATATATACTATGATCTCTAGAAAGGGCTAGGGGGAAAAAAAAACAAAAAAAAACCAAAACCATGGCCCATGCTCTCTAGAATAAATTTTAGAAGGGAAAAAAGGTTTCTTTTGTTTTTTCTAAGTTTTTCTTTAACTTGCACTTACAGGCTTCTCTACCAACAATGAAAATTCACCTAAAGCCCTGTACTTTGAAAATGACAGTCCTTTCCTCTTATGCTCAAAGTCCACAAACCCTACAAATGCCAGGGCTGCTGATCTAACACAGCTGTTGGCCACAGAGCAGCAGCTGGCTGCTTTCCCTATTTGAGCTAGGCCAATCACTGCTAAGACACAAATCCTTTCAGCTTTCCCTGCTCTCTAATTCCTATGTCATTCTTGTCACTTGAGTGATAGGTAAATTTGGTGACCTACTTTTCTAGGGGTGTCTGAAAACAACAGTGATGAAAATTGAGATTGAAAACTTAATGGATTCCACTGGGCCAGAAAACAAATACTTTTTCATTTCTCTCTATTCAGGATGGCCATCAGAATTTGCCATCAGTGGACTAAATGAACAAGCTGGTTACCTCAGTGGAAATTCCACAAGGAGATAAATCCCTTCCTACAACATCAATATTTCAACGGAATGCTTCCTGGCATGGAAGTCTCTAAGTAAGCCCCAGTGGCTAGGCCCAAATTCAAGGAAAGCCCAAATCTGCAAACTGGAAAAATGGAATGGAGAATGTAAATACTATAAAGAGATGACATCTGAAACAATTTCAAAATAAGAGGCAATGACTTCTTCAAGTCTTAACTTGAGTCCTTGAGAGTTGAGCTATTCAATGAATTATATATAAAAGCAGTCCCCAGGAATACAACCTCCTCCATGTACTGCTTAGAGCAGCCCAGTATTCACAGATGCATTCATGCGGCTCAGCATACCTGTGAAGTAGGACCGTCATTCCCATTTTACTAATTAGGAACAGGCTGAGGTAAATTAGGAAATTTACTTAAGGTGCCTTAGCAAGAGTTATCAGTGAGAAGACCTGAACTCCCAAACCTGTGCTTGACACCACACCACCATTCCCTTCTAGAACTTGCCTCCCTTGGCTCTCAGGTCTTTGATCTTTTTAAGATCTTCTATCTAACCAAGCCCTAGCCTTCTCCTTTAAATGCTCCCTCTCAAAACAGAGCTCTTTCATGTGTCAAAGTTTCAACCACAAAGACAATCACAAATTACTTGACTTTAACTCCTCTCTCTCAATCCAAAGGCCAAATGCAGTAACACATTATCTTCCCACAGAATGTCAGAAGGCTCTTAAAATAGCAAGACTAGCCACTTTTCTATTAAAGTTTTCTTATCGCCTGAACCATGCGGTAAGTATCAGAGTGTCACCGTAAGAGTGGCTTTAACTATAAGGAAGCAAAAGCTTGCCTGGAAAATTCTCTGAACCCTTTCCTTCCTTCCCAGGTTAGCGGCAACAGAGCAGCAGACCACATGCAGTGGAAAGCAGCACCAGACCAGGCTGAGCCTGGCTAGGCTTACTTACCTGTAAACGACGGCAGGGATGCGCTTCCAGGACCTGAAGCTTGCAACACTCTCTAGTTCTTTGTCGGTGATCCAGGCAGGCACTATGAGCTCCTGTGGATAGCTACCACATAGCCTAATGGGGAAGGTGAGAAGGAGGGAGTGGGGGAAGAAGACAGGGAGGGAGAAGAGGGAGAGACACTAGGTGAGCCAGTCTAAGGATGCTGATCAAGCTACCCAGAGCCAGTTAAAAGGCAATATGGAGCTTTAAGTGAGTCCTGGCCTACTCAGCAGAACTAGTCGCCTTAGGTGTTTACTTATGTGTATGTCGCCTGATAATATCTGTCACTGTTCCACTTTAGGCTACCTTTGGGAATTTGGTGATCCTAACATCTGAAATAGGGGGAGTCCACAGGCAATCAGTTACTTCACTCTAACATTGTCTTGTAACAAACATACAAGTCATTTCTTAACTATAGAAAGTGCACAGTCCAACTACAGAAGTAAAAGTCTGTCAACCTCTACCAGACCCCCTCACTCTTTCAGGCTTCTGTCAAAGGGAAACATGTGAAGAAAGACAAAAGTCTACAATTTCAAGTTTCCAGATACCTTACAGAATTACTAACATATTCTCTGATGTGTCCTAATTATAGGTAACAGGTACAGGCATGGGTATGCAGAAGCAGTACCATAAGTCAGGACATTTGCATACATAATCACAGCCCCACTGACCCAAGTTAGTAATATGAGTAAGCTATTAATCATAATTTCATAAAACATACTTCAGAACTATATTCAGGGGGGGATAAAGCTCTTTTCATTAGGGAGGAAGATAGTAGCTGCATGCTAGTCAGGCTGGTGCCCTAAAAAGCAGTTCTTTCCGACAGGTTTTTCACTTATAGGACATTGTCTCTCTATGGGTATCCCAATACTCCTTTTCAGCAGTGAAGGCAAGAAGACCTTTAATCCGAATCTTAAAATACACAAATTCCTCCTCCTCCTGTACCACCACCGCGCGGCCCTTGCCTATCTTATGCAGTGGGGGGAAGAGGCAGAAAACACCAAGTAGCTTAGGATCATTCTGCACAAAATATCTACAACATGTTCTCAATTTCCAGAAGATTAAATATCAAGAATTTAAAAGCCACTGAACCAAGAGAATATCTACGACCAACAGTAGCTCTATAAACTTAACACCCATAAACTAAAAATAATCTGGGACACTATGACCATAGTTAATATGGTAACCACGAGTCTTGTTCTTTTGTCTTCTTTTATCTTGTTTAAAACTTAACAGTAAATTTAGCGCTCCTTCATAGTAGGAAGCACTTTTCAATGTCCTGCAGACTGGTTTTGAGGCAGAAATAGGGGATTCAAAGACAAAAATTAATTTTTAAAACCCATATTGAATAGCAATTTTGAAAACCAAATGGCTTTTGAACTCCTTTGAATTCAAGTTTATTCAACCTGTTTTTTATTCAACAAATTTAGCTTAACTCGGTTTTCTGACTTCATCCAATATTCTGATCATTCTATTCCTTGTCCTGTATTACACTACCTAGTAGTTACCTCTTTAGCAAATACTGGCTGCTTACATGTAGATAAGCAGTTTCCAGCATAGGAAAGGAGGGCTGTGCATGAACAAAGCCTGTGGCAGCCTCAGGTTCTCTGAGCCCTTGCCTCCAGTCTCCACCTCTAGTCTCTGCTTTGACTTTTAACTGAGAACAGGCAAAGGTATCACAGGTCTACATGTAGCTCCAGTTCCTTCACAAGACCCTGGGTTCTTAATTCCTTGGCCAGTGTCCATGTTAAGAGCTGCATAAACTATTCCAATGAAAAATGAAATGCTCTGATGGCTACCCACAAACAGACCAAGAAAATGGCTATTTGAGGCAGTTTGAAAAACAGAATGATTAATGCCTCCAACTGCTAGAAGGAATCTTAAGAGGAGAAAAATACTAATTTAAATCTCCTGAACAATTTTCTTTTGTTTCATAGAAATTTGGACCACCAAAATCATAATAGTTAGCTGCCCCCCCCATACCAAAGTACTTATACCTTTTAAGGAAACAAAAAATGGGAAATATTTAATAGTGATTATATTAATATTTAATGACTAAATGGTCATAGCTATGAAGTTGGAAAGAACAGAATAGTACTTATGCCTATTTCATAGTATCTGGAGTAAAATTAAGTCATAAAAACTAGCTTCTAAGTATTGTATCACTGCTTGTGCAATCACTAATTCTATCTCCAATGTGATGTCAAGTGGTGACAAGACCAATGGAAACTGCCTGCCTACATGAGAACACAATACCGTCTAAGAAACGCACGCACCTGGAACAACAGAGATCTGGAGGGGGATGGAAAGGAAGGTTCCAGAATCCTATGAAATACCACTTTTCCACTCCAGTAACAGCAATGGGAACAGAAGGCTCAAGAAGTACTCTGAAGACCATGCAGTTAGATATAATAAATAAAATTCCACTGAAAAAATAGGTCTATGTCTAAGTTCAAATGTTCCGCCACATGAGAACTGGGGTTTCTGCAAAGGCACTGGCTGTGAAGCACAGTCCATAGGCACCCATACAACTCACTTGTACTTCTCATTGATGTTGGAAATCCTCCAGGCATTGTTCATATCAAAACCCATTCGCTCCACTTCGTTTTTAAACCTTGACGTTACATGCTCCCCTAGGGGCCAAGGACAGCAGAAAGAAAGAAATGAATACCATTTTGCAAAACAGGTAGAATAAAAGCATAGCTACCCTGCTCAGTTATATAAATAACATGTACTTAGTTTTAGTTTAAAAAGTCCCTGTCAGGGTAAGACTATACAAAGGAATGAGGAAATTAATTTTTAATAGAAATATAGCTAATCCAATTTACATTAGTTTCAGGTCTATGACATAGTGATTCAACAATTACATATATTATGAAACGCTCACTGTAAGTGCAGGTACCATCTGTCACCATACAGAGTGACAGTTATTACAATATTATTACATTATAATATTGCTATTACAATTTTGTATCACAATATTATGGTAGTTATTACAATATTATTGACTATATTACAGTATTATAATAAAATATTACAATATTATTGTATTTACAATATTACTGACTCTATTCCCTATGCTGTACCTTGTATCCTTGTGACATATTTCTTACTGGAAGTTTATACCTCTTAATCCCCTTCACCCATTTTGCCCATCGCCCCCCCACTTTGGCAACCAGAAAACCAATGTGTTCTCTGTATTTATGAATCTGTATCTATTTTTTTGTTTGTCCATTTTCAGATTCCACATATAAGTGAAATCATATGGTATTTGTCTGTCTTTGTCTTATTTCACTGGGCATAATAACCTCTAGATCCCTCCATGTTGTCACGAATGGCAGATTTTCTTTTTTATGACTCAGTAATACTCCTGTATGCGTGTGTATGTACACACGTGCATATGCGGGTGCATATGCCCCATCTTCTTTATCCATTCATCTATTGATGAACACTTAGGTTGACTTAGGTTGTTCCCATTATTTTGGAATTTTGATCAAGAATTATGTTATCTGGGGGCGCCTGGGTGGCTCAGTGGGTTAAAGCCTCTGCCTTCGGCTCAGGTCATGATCTCAGGTCCTGGGATCGAGCCCCATATCGGGCTCTCTGCTCAGCAGGAAGCCTGCTTCCTCCTCTCTCTCTGCCTGCCTCTCTGCCTACTTGTGATCTCTCTCTGTCAAATAAATAAATAAAAAAATCTTTAAAAAAAAAAAAAAAAAAAAGAATTATGTTATCTGGGGCGCCTGGGCAGCTCAGTGGGTTAAGGCTCTGCCTTTCGCTCAGGTAATGATCTCAGGGTCCTGGGATGGAGCCCCACATCGGGCTCTCTGCTCAGCAGGGAGCCTGTTTCCCATTCTCTCTCTCTGCCTCCCTCTCTGCCTATTTCTGATTTGTCAGGTAATTAAATAAAACCTTTTAAAAAAAAAGAATTATGTTATCTCATTTAATCACTACTACCAACTCAGAGTGGTTATCACCGAGTTCATTTTACAGAGGATAAAACTGAGACTGAGAGAGGTTATTATGGTAGGTTTGTCTGGTCCCAAAATCCAGTCCCTGTCACTGGCTACTCTTCCATTTCCACATTCACAATATACATGAAACATAAAATCAACAAGTTCACCAAGATAGTAATATAAATCCTCATCAGAAATCCTATGGGCCAGATTTCAAAACTTGAGTTTTCTAGAGTTTAAGATGGTAAAAATAATATAGTATTAGATTAACGCTCTCAAAAGGGTCTACTAATCAAAACATTAGTATTTCTACAGCGAAATGCATGGATAATTCCCACTAAATGGTAATGAGTAAAGCAGCAAATAGCTTCATGTCAGCTCAGACTGGGTCAAGCCACCAAGTAAGAAGACTCTTTTGATTTTCAGAGCCTTATAGATTACAGAATTGCAGATAAGAGATCATGAAACTGTAACTTCCAGTACCCAAGAATCTCAGGAAATGCCATACTACTAAGTAAAGTGCTAAGCATTTGTAAGAATATCCACCCAAACAAGTATAAACCGCCTAGATCTGCGCTAATGAAACTGGCTTTTTCTTCCTAAAGACAGCAAGCAACAAATGCAGAAGTGAACCAAACATAAAAGTCATTAAATCTGAAATAACTTTCTTCCTTGAAAACACACAGAGTCCTAGGGCAGTAAAACAAACAAACAGAAAACCATTAAGCAGTATCTCTATATGCAGTGTTACAGGTTGTAAAATAAATTCTGGTGGGGGCTGGGAGAAACTACAATAATAAAAGCACAAAGCAGACTAGACTGCTTAGGTGATCAAAGTATAAAGCTTTGCTTTCCCTGGGAAAGGAGCTTCAGAATAGAAAACAGCAATTACTTGAATGAAGGACAATTCTATAAAACTATTTCCCATTTAAACTGCTTTTCGTGAGCTTAAACTAGGTATCATATGTTTCCTGAAGGAGAGCTATAAAAAAATGAGGTGCAGAGATTTAGGAAGAAATAATCCGCTGAATGCATCCCATTGTGGAAAAGTTTTAGATGTGATGTCGGCTTTCCAAACAGGAAAAAAGCTATCTGAAATGGGGTGCCATCTGTCTATAAATTGCAAGGAATAGTGACCATCAAGAATATTGGAGAGTCCTTCACTTTTAATCCCCATCTAAAACAGTAAAACTACGACAATTTCCAAGTTCACTGATTAATGAGATTTTTCCCACCTGTGATATAGCTCCAAGTCTTTGCAAAAGGTAAAAGTAATTAATGACTGACATTAGTACCTCTAATCTGAGCACAAATACACAGCCCTAAAAGGACCTTCTAATTTTAAAATAGTAACTGGCAAATCACCACCACCATCACTGGCAATTTGCCAAAGAAAAGCTTAAAACCACTATCAAGAATATGAAATTCTGAGCTACACACAAAGAAATACATACTGTGTATCAAGCATAAAACATGTTACTTCCTTGAGAACAAGGAGTTTAGTTACCTTTGTATCCTCTAAAACGGTGAGTTCCTAAGTTTGAAACTGACCATCACAACCACAAATTTGGGTTTTGACCATCAAAACTCAAATTAGGTTTTACATCATAAGCCACTGCATGTTTATTTTTAAAAGCTTTACAAAACCCACCCTTACTATGTGGGATACATTTTGATATTTTCTATCCTAGGTATTTCATTTTGTATTTCATTCCTTAAAACTTTTGATTTTATGACCCACAAGTGGATCACAACTTAGTCGGAAAAGCAGTGCTTTAAAAAAAAAAAAAAAAAAAAAAAATCTAGCAACAGACCTTAAATACAGGAGTAATTCAATTGGTTTTTGCTAAATTCTGTTAGAAGCTCCCTTATGTTTTTCAGCTAGAAAACTGAATGCCAAGCACATCTATTTGCTGATTTCCCTTATGAATCTCCAAGAATTCTTTGGTTTCCACTGATTCAATATCAGATATACCATCATATCCTATTTTAAATATTACGGTTTTAAGTTTGTTTGGCTTTGAATTTCCATTGCAACCCTCCTGTCTGCTCTCCCCCCACCCCCAAATGAGGATGTGTCCTTTTTCAATGTTTAGTATTTCTTGTACTACAAATGCAAACAGTCCAGCAATTCTTTAGTGAGAATGAAAACCTTTTTTTTTTTTAAAGATTTTATTTATTTATTTTTAAAAAGATTTTATTATTTATTTGACAGAGAGAGATCACAAGCAGGCAGAGAGGCAGGCAAAGAGAGAGGAGGAAGCAGGCTCCCTGCTGAGCAGAGAGCCCAATGCGGGGCTCAATCCCAGGACCCTGGGATCATGACCCTAGCTGAAGGCAGAGGCCCTAACCCACTGAGCCACCCAGGCGCCCTGAGAATGAAAACCTTTTTAAAGCAATGAGACCCTCTATCATAACCAGTGTCAATAGGCAGTCTAAAAAAATCCCCCCCTCAAAAGTCTAGCTCCCTGGGTGATTCTGGGCATTCAAGCCCACAATTATACACAGCCTAAAGGTCTGAGATAGAAGAGCCAGTCCTCTATACAGGATGTGAGGAAGAAGAACTGCTTCAGAGTCAGAGAAGGTGAGAACCAGCCCTCCCAGATTTTCAAACACGGATGGAAGAATCATTCTGTTCTATGAACATACATTCCAGTACAGTCATCTAATTTTACACTTACTGGACTTCGTTCAAACTCCTAAGACTTGGCTTTTTACTAAACAGGTAGCTGCACAAGAGCTGTGAGACCCAGACTCCTATGCTGTTCATGGTTCAAGATGTGCTTAATGGGCATTTCACAGAAGAGAGGTCAGAGAGATGAGCCTGATGCTATTAAACTAATAATTGAATTGTCCAGTCATTTGTCAGGACCCCTGCTTAATGCTCAAGGACAGAATGATCATCAAGAAGGCAGCTACAATGAAGAGAAGAAAACCAAGCACATGGGAGAGAAGCTTTAAGCTTTCAGTCCATTCCTTTTTTCGAGTTCAAAATGGATCTAAGAGTCAAGAGTTTCACAAAGACTTCTGCAAGTTTCACAGGTAAACTCCAATAGCAATACTGAGACTTCTTCCAAAGCAGATTAAGACTCAGAGCTTTGGCCACCATATGGCTGGCTTAACTACGACAGCTTCAACAGTCAGAAACTTAAGATTTATATGAATACAAGGCAATGATACAATTTTCCCATTTCGCTCCTTTCTGACACATTCTACTCTTAGCAGACTAGGCATAGAGAGACAGAATCCATAAAACCCTTTATTAACTGCTGAAAGACTAAACTAACTTCAACTCTTCAGAGTCTATGTGCTTATGATCTCATATGTTGGAGCAGATTATACAAAGGCATCACTTTGAAATATCTCAAGTGCTGTCTCACCCTAAAGATGACTTGTAAGAATGTGGTTGTCTGGTATGCTCCCACTTGGTGAGTAATGCTGTAGCCACCACCAACACTCAATAATACTGGGCAGAGACAAAAGAACCAGGTTGACTGGCTTTAAAAATGCCACCACAGTATTTTTTATTAGGAACAAGTTTTCCCTCTGTATTCCACAGTGAAAATATATAAAAAGGAAAAAGCCATACATATATAAACACACTCAAACCAAGTCACTGAAGTACAGTAAGATTCCATGTAAGTGGTAGCAGGTTAACTTCAGTGTGGATTTGTGACATTAGAAACAAAATACAACCTTTACTCAGATTAAGCTCCAACCAATCAGTTACAATGGCATCACCTTGTACATTCATAAAATCCAAAATGTTCTGACAAGCATGGCACATAGGAAGCACTCAGATATTTACTGAACTGAACTCTCCAGCAATAACAGATTTGATCTTCGGGATACCCAGATCAGCTTGGGTAGGAAGAACAGGAATGTCCCAGTCTGAAGAACAAAGGAAACTGAAGTACAAAGACCATTGATAAATGGCTTGCCCAGTATTCTTTTTTTTTTTTTTTTAATTAAATGGTAAAGTAGGGTTTGAATTCAGGTTCCCTAGTTCTTAAATTAGTTCTTTACCCCCCAAATACCTCCACCCATCACAAACTAATGAAAAGACAGAACACTGTCGATATCTGTAAGCTCTGGCAGCCAAAGAATACCAAATATCATCAGGAAGAGAAGGATCTGGGGATAGAAGTCATCTCAGCTCAAGACACAGCCATCCATAATTAAAAGAGTGAAGTTCTGACCTGGCACACCTTAGCAATAGCCTAGGAGATGGCTCAAATCCAAAAGAAACTAATTTTATCAAGGAAATAAGGAGTCATCTAAAGATATGAGGAATTTCCAGTCTGTCATTGTGAAAAAACAGGTTAGGAGAAAAAGCAAGCCTTGCTGACTAACCACCTAAAACTAGGGGTATTGCCCATTAGGGTTAGGACTCTTTAACAACTGAAGTTCTTATATAACACTATGCAGCTAGACAGAACTCCCTAACTTCATTATCCTAGGAAATGGTAGAGACTAAAAATTTAGTAAGATGCATTGACTAAAAATTCAACAAAAATACATATAAGATTTGTGCATTTCACTGTATGTAAATTTTACCTTGAAAAAAGAAAAACTTGAAAAGAGCCATAAACAACAACAATAACAAAATACGATGGCATCTCAATAAAGAAGGAAAATGAAAAAGATGCAATGGATGATGAAGTGAAGTCAGAGACAGTTCAAGCACATTTTCATAACCTTTTGCAGGATGGTGTGAACTCCTGTGGCTGACTCCGGGTTTCACTGGCCTGACCAGGCTCATGGGTAGCTTGGATTCCTGAGGCTTTCCTTGTGGATTCACAGGGCAGTGCCTGTTTTTCATCTCTGCATGCACAACACCCCACACAGTCAACTCTCAATAGCGGAGAACTGGGTTAAGTCCTAGCTCTGTCACTGACTGGCAGTGGGGCCCGGCAGCAGGCTTTACCTCTGAGTTCCATTTCTGTGGCTCCCAAACAGAGACTCGGTCTATCCTGCCTGCTTGATGAGGTCATGAGGGTCAAACAAAAGTATATATCAAAGCATCTTTAAAAATAAGATGATGCTTCCTGTTATATTTTAATTATGAACCAGAAACTTCAACCAGTGAATGAGCCAGGAAACAAAGCGATACAAGCAAAGCTAGATTAGCTTCAAATGTTTAAAATGACCCAGGGCAGAACAGTTAAGATAAAAAACTCAGGATTAAAAACTGAGGTTTAAAGAAAAAAGTCCCTAGAGTAAGCGGAGTTGGACGGAGCCTCACAACTTTTCATTGCTTAGAAATTAAAAAAAAAAAAAAAGAAATTCAAGACTTTCCTTCCAGGCTGGACATAATAAAGATTGAGTGTTGGACCAGCAAAGTTCTATTTATGGCAGCCTAAAGTTTACAGAAAAATACACGTGGAGAAATAACATGAACTTGATCCAAGCCATTTCTGAAGGAAAAAGAGTGGAACAAAGATCTCCTGGGAAGGCAGGAGGCCTGGACTCCAGTATAAGCTCGGCTTCTCTATTTGTCTCGAGGAAAGTCACCTGGCCTCTCTAGACCTCTGTTTCATCACCTAGGAGATGAAAGGGATAGGGACAGGAAATCTCTGACATGAAAATAAGAAGATAGGGAAAGGCCATTTTGTATGCCACTATTCTGCATGCTACCTTCACATACCTCTGGACCTTTATTCATGCAACTTGTGTTAACATTTTCCCCCTTTCTCTAATCAATGAAACCTTCCTTATTCTACCTTCAAAGCCTATTCAAAAGCTACCATGAATGTGAAGTCTTCCCAAATGTGTATACAACACTCATGGCTCCCTTCCATTAGGCTCCTTTCAACCCCCATTAAACCATACTCTAGTTGTTTTTAGGCCCAATAGACAGTGATACCAAATATAGTGTTCTTCCCTTCCCCTGAAAGGCAAGAAACATGTTCTATTAAGCTTAGAAGTGATGGGCACATGCTAGGTGCTCCATAAAATAGATAACGAATGAATACACGTATGCTTAGAGTCCCATTTCATGTGAAGGGTACCTCAAACAGTAGTTCAAAAAAGACACTATTTGGGGTGCCTGGGTGGCTCAGTGGGTTAAAGCCTCTGCCTTCGGATCAGGTCATGATCCCAGGGTCCTGGGATCGAGCCCCGCATCAGGCTCTCTGCTCTATGCTCGGCAGGGAGCCTGCCTCCCCCTCTCTCTGTGCCTGTCTCTCTGCCTACTTGTGATTTCTGTCAAATAAATAAATAAAATCTTTAAAAAAAAAAAAAAAAGACACTATTTGCACATTTTAGAAAGATCTACCTGGTCTGCACAGGTCTCCATGTTGCTCTTTTTCACTGGCGTAGACCTCCATGCACCAAGCGTGGTATGCAAATGAGAATAGATCTTCTATTTTCGCAGGTGGTCGGATTGCATTGTTCAGTCTCTTGAGCCACTCTTGACACTGCTCAAAGGTTGAGAACTGACACCTTTGTAAAGCCAAACAAGTATGGATGTAATTAGCAGATGGCTGACAATGAAATCTGAGGGAAGCCACCATTTCAAGAGTGCCTACGTCCTGGTGCAGTGACAGCTACAATCAAAAGAGCATCAGAGGTGGCCATTCACACGTTCATCATTTATGATAAAAAGAGATCCAATAAATTTTAGCCAATGGTACAAAATGTCAAAAAGAAAAAAAAATGGACGTGTGAAAAACTTATTTTTAGGCTGATGAAATTGCTTCTGAGATTGATTAATGGTAATTATTAAAGTAAAATGGCAGTGTTCTCTTTCATGAGTAAGGTTTCCTCCTATGTCTTCCACCAAAGCTTTAGAAAGGTTGTCAAGAAATAGGTTATAACAAAACAAAAAGAACTTCTCCTAAACCTATCAGGCCAAGCTCAAAAATAAATCACAGCACAACTTTTGGCCAGTTTGATAATAATTTCAAAATCTAACTCAGCAATTAGAATAAATCAGCAACTGTAGATCCAAAATAAAACCCTGAAACTTTCAGCTGTGACCATGTAGAGAACCAAACAATTCTATTAGAAATTGTAATTTTAGGTACATATTGTTTGATTCAATTAGGGCAAAAAATACTTCACCTTTTCAAATGCAGACAGTGTTTAAACTGAGTAATTAATAAACAAGCTTTTTAAATGTAAGTTGTAGTTAGTATCTATCAAAAGCAAGCCAATCTCAATGGCTAAAAGGCAACTTATATATCTTAAAACCAAGGAGGTCACTTCAACCTCTTCCTCATTCCAATCAATGTGGCTCATCAATATGCCAACACACAGTGTTTACTGGCACTCCAAAATCAAAGAGATAAGGGAATTCAGAACTTCTAGAGCTATTAAATTTAAAAACACATTTCAGGCATCATTTCGCAATCATTAGAGTAAAGATTATATCAGATAAAAACCAATGGATGTTAAATCAATGGAGAAACTGGACGAAAGGCAGGATATTTTCATTGTCTTAAAGTGCCTTCTATAGACAGTTTATTTGTTGTGAAGGAGAAAATGAAGAAATTACACAGAAAGCAGGTGACACCTCAACAAGAATGATCAAAATTAACATCACCAATAAGGGACAGATGGACACTGCTTGCCTCCAGACGTAATAGAGCACCCTGAGAAGGATACAACCTACACATATAATACTGTAGCCAAGAATACAGAACCTCAATTTAATCATAAGGAAACACTGTACAGATATAAAATGAGAAACATTCAATTTAAAGATTATATTCTTTAAAATGTGAATGTCATAAAAGAAAAAAAAGGGAGTGAAAAATGTTTCAGAGTAAAGAAGGCTAGAGCGGTGCCTGGGCGGCTCGGTCAGTTAGGTGTCAGCTCAGGTCATGATCCCAGGGTCTGGGACGAGTCCCACATTGGGCTCCTTGCTCAGTGGGGAGCCTGCTTCTCCCTCTGCCTGCCGCTCCCCTGCTTGTGTGTGTGTGCTCTCTCTGACAAATGGATGAATAAAGTAAATAAATTATAAAATAAAATAAAATGGATGAATACATATTTTTAAAAAAAAAACTAAGAAGGCTACAGAATCACAGCAACTAAATGCAATACCTGACTTTGCATGGATCCTATCCCGAATAAGGTGGGGGTGAGAAAAATGCTATAAAGGGCATTATTAGGTCAAATGACAAAATTGGAACAAGGATAGTAGACTGGATAAAAGTATTATGAGTGTAAAGTTGTGAAGCTGATAATGATACCATGGTTATGTAAGAAAATATCCCTATTCTTAGGAAAGCATACCAAAGTATTTCAGGGTGAAAAGCCAGGATTACATAACTTACTTTCAAATAGTTCAGAAAAAGAATCACTCACACACACACACACACACCCCACCTGCAAACAATAAAGCAAATGGGGTAAAATGTTAACAATACTGGTGTTCTTCGTAATATTTTAACTGTTGCACTTTTTTTGGTAAATCTGAAATTATTTCCAAGTAAAAAACTTAAAAATCACTTTTCAAATAGGAAAGTAGCCTAAAGATGAAATATTTCAGGCACTAACTACTCAGAAAATATTCCTAACAAGGCTGACACTCAAAAGCTGTTTTTCTGTTACCAAACCACGAATCCATTCTTTTAATAATATATATTTTCCACACTAAAAAACAGCATAAACACATCACATACCTGATAACTTTGCAGTCTTTGCAAGTCAAATGAAGCTGAAATATATCTCGGCATTCAACACTTTCTATAAGCTGTAATGGAACCTGCAATTAAAAAAGATGAAGACCCCTTAGTCAAGAAGGCATTAATCCCTCAGTTTTCTCAGTGGGTTCAACAAGAAAGATCCAAAAGCTCTACAAGCGAAAGTAGCAAACAAAGCCGCAAATTTATCTGAATCAGTAGTATTCAAGTGATTTACTACTGAGTCAATTAGGGTTTCCCCTCCTTTCCCTCTAAATCAATAGCCTCAAGTCATGTCTGAGCATGAAGACAAGGAATGAAACAACAGGGGAACAGGTCATCTCTCAAGTATCAAACTCACAACCTCTCCAGGTACTACTACTTTACACACTACAGCTAGCTGCGATTTGCAATGACAAAGCAGCTGAAGGGAACCAGAGTGGTAATCTGGTCTTGTTCACAGAGAAGAAGTGCAGATCAAGGTGACGGTAGGACTACACTTATTTGCCCCAAACAGCCAAGTGGACTTGTGGCTTTGTTTTAGCAAAGGAACATCCTGAAAAACACTGGAGATCTAAACTGCCCACAAGCCACACAGGAAAGATGTGGTTGCTTGTCAGACTCTATACTCAGTAGAATAGACCCATCTAACATCTAGATGTTAGAATAAACATCAAAGAGGAGGGAGCAGGCCACACAGTGGTCAAAGGTCCTAAAACTAGCTAGGTCTAATTTGCTTCAAAAAATCAGGAAGATCCCTGTCTGCCAAGTGGGGCTTGATGTATGAACAAGCTGGAATGGTTCTCTCCCTGCCAATCCGGTGAGCAGACTCTACAGAACACAGAAGTAAGGACAATAGTGGAGAGGGCTGGGAGAAGGAAATGGAGGCAGATAGGGAAAGCATCTTAACAGGGGACAAATCTTCAAGCTGATATGAGAATCCTCCCCCTCTTGGATCAATTCACCTTGATCTCAACCCTTGGTTTCAGAAACTAATTTCTAAAACTTCTCAAGAGAGCCTGGTAAAATAACTAGATACACTCACTGTTTAGAGAAGGGGTCTCTTATACTGTATCACGCCCAGGCAAAATGTAGCTCTGACAATTCCGTGTAGCATTCCAACAATTCATGTTTAGCATAGGAAGAGACAGGCAGTCTCCAGCACAGAAACCAGAGAGTGCTGCCTGCACGAGGTGGCCATCATATTAGCGGAGCCAGTTTCAGAAACGGGCTTCCTGCAAACTCTGCCCCACCATGCAGTTGCCAGAGTCAGCAGAGAACTCTCAGAAAAATGATGTGAGAATCAAAAAGAAGCCCAGTGCTGGATGTCTGGGATGAGAAACAGAAACTGGGGTAGGGATTAAACAAGAGAAGCAAGCAAAATAATATATAGAAAATGGGAGTTTCTACCTCAGAACTCAGAAACTTCTGGCTTAGTTCTAAGTCTATAAACGAAAAATTCCCTCATAATAGTACTGGGAGTAAGTGAAGAAATCTTGTATTCTGAGAAAAAATGAACTCTGGCCCTCTGGGTTTTTTTTTGTTTTGTGTGTATGTATGTATGTATGTATGTATGTATGTATGTGTGTGTGTGTGTGGTTTTTTTTTTTTTAAGATTTTATTTATTTATTTATTTATTTGTTTGTTTGTTTGTTTGTTTGTTTGACAAGACAGAGATCACCAAGTAGGGAGAGAGGCAGGCAGAGACAGAGGAGGAAGCAGGCTCCCTGCTGAGCGAGAGCCCATGCAGGGGCTCGATCCCAGGACTCTGGGATCATGACCTGAGCTGAAGGCAGAGGCTTTAAGCCACTGAGCCACCCAGGTGCCCCTGGCCCTCTGTTTCTAAGTCCAGGTGCTGTGAGAAACTAGCTGATGCAGCTAAAAATTCTTTCAAGACCTGTACATCTCAGAAGGAAAAATACAATATACATCAATGGGTAGGGGTAAGCTGTAAAGGAAGACCACAGATTAAAAAGATAGAGATAGGTGGCACCTGGGTGGCTCAGTCTGTTAAGCGGCTCAGGTCATGATCCTAGGGTCCCAGGATGGTGCCCCACGTCAGGCTCCCTGCTCAGGGGCAAGTCTGCTTCTCCCTCTCCCTAAGTTTTTGCACACATATACACACTACCACTTTCTCTCTCCCAAATAAATAAATAAAATCTTTAAAAAAAAAAAAAAAAGATGGAGATTGGAAGAGGACACTGATTTGTCTGCAGGTCAGTCCTTTGGGTGCCCTATAAGACTCTCATACTGCTTTTGGATGCCCTGTAACAGACTCTCATATTGCATTTGCTTTGTTTTAATATAACCCCTTTCCCTTCTCCCTCCCTTCCCAAAAGTGGCTGCAAGAATGGCAATTAAGAAGCCTGAATTCTAATCTCAAATTTCTAAAATTTTACCAACTAAGTCTGCCTACTTCCTGACTTCCTTGGACCAATTTCCAACCTGCCTGTATGTTTTCTGAACATCAAATGGTCACAGCATAGGAAGTCCCAGGCAGAGGGAACAGGAAGTGTCTGGAGTGGAGTGAGAGTAGCTTTACAAACCCACATGGAAAGGCTGCTCTCTCAGAAGTCACCTGCATCCCAGGTCCCCTTCAGTCACCTTCCTTATAACTATAAAATCTGAAAACCAACTAATGCTAATAGCAGCTGCTGGAGGAAGTGAACGAGCCTGTGCTACTGTGCTATAAGGAAGAGATAAGCTTTACATGCCCTACTGTTGGATCAGCCTGCGACCGGACTTCCAGAATAATGAAACACCTTAGAGCATGCAAAAGATTTGCTACCTAAAATGCATTCGATATGCAAATTTTCACACATTTTAACATCACAAATTTAAGGAAGAAGGCTAAAAATACCAGATGCTAGTATGCAGATACGACTAGCAAGTCACCAGAAACCACCATGTGTACTCAAGTCATAGATATGAAAAACAGATTTTTTTTTAAAGATTTTATTTATTTATTTGAAACAGAGAGAGAAAGATCACAAGTAGGCAGAGAGGCAGGCAGAGAGAGGGAGAAGCAGGCTCCCCACTGAGCAGAGAGCCCGATGCGGGCCTCGATCCCAGGACCCTGAGATCACGACCCAAGCCAAAGGCAGAGGCTTAACCCACTGAGCCACCCAGGCGCCCTGAAAAACAGATTTTAATGCTCATGCAGACTGTCACATGCAGGGAAGTTTAATATGCAGCAATTAAAAAAAAGAGACATATAAGAGAGAAATACGTGATTTTATATACCAAATGAACAACTACCTTTTTTCTTCTCCTATCTACCCCAACGTTCCCTCCACAGACTGCCTCCTCTTCCAAAAAGGCAGAACAGGCCTTTTCCTCTTACACACCCAACCAAAACACACTAAGTTTCTCTACTTTAAGGCCTGCTCCATTGCTTTAGGTTTCTCAATTTTCCTCACACATCAAGAGGATCTCTTACCATTTCTGTAACCAGGCAAACCCCATATTCAACCCTATTAGCAAACAATTATAGATTGTCTTCAATCCATCATTGAATCTAGGCCGTTTTATAGCCCAGGGAGGTTAAGTTTCTACACTATAAGCTAGTGGCAAAGACAGGACCAGAATCCATGCACCTGTCTTCTAGCCCAAGTTTCTTCCATTTTAATGGTGCACCTTTCCTTCTTCCTCTAAGATTGCCCCTCCTTGATGTATGAGCTCTACTTTAATGTTTCTCTCAGAACTAAGTGGCCTCTCCACCAGGGACCTTCAAGAGGAAAACAGAATTTAAACCAGATTCCTTATGTACAGTTCTATCCATGGAAGAGTACGAAAAAATCTAAAGTCACATACATTCAAATCCTCCCTAGCAAACTGATTCAGTGTTTTGTAGCAACTCATTTTCTTTTTGCTTCTTTCACCTCTACCTTCTTCCTGCAAGGTAATTCTAACTTCCTTTACAGTGATTTTCCTCTTATAATCTCCACAAAACTCATGCTCAAACAATGCATCAAACACACTCAGTGCTGTTAATTCCTCAAAAGGCCAACAGTTACATCATTGGCATCAAAATTCATAAGAGCATCAATCCAAAAAAGCAGAAGAGCAGCAGTTAAAAATTATAATAGACATGCACAGTATTAAAGATCCATAGTACTATCTCACTCCAGAGGGAATTTTACGTCATCATATCCTAGTATGTTTACTTTAATTCTTTCTCGGTTTGTGTGTGTGGACATGCACATGTGCAGTATTTTTAAGCACCAGAATTTAAAAGTGGGATAGGTCTATCTTTTAAAAACAATGCCCTTTTTATAGCCTGAATGGAAAGTACTAATTTTGTACATCCATTTGAATTAAAAATGGCAGTAATTGAGTGAAAATGAGTCTAAACCTAAAATCTGTAATAAGCTGTGAAGTATCTGGGCCCTAAATCTTATATAGAAACCAGTCAGAAGAAGACTGTCACCAGTTAAAGATCCAAACTCTACTGCTCACATTTTATATTTACAAGCTGCTCTTCTAGCACTGATTCAGAGACTTCTGCTGGCATATGAATACTGCGGCCAAGGTGCATGAAGGAAGGGTTGACAGTAACCTCCTTCTGATACTTGGGTAAAAAAGATTTTTGCTATACTACAGTTAGACAATAAAAGAATGTGAAAAAATGCTAAGGAAAATGTTTGCAGATGCTACACTTACACATTTTTCCTAAAAAGCATTAACAGGCCAGCCTGGAAATAGAAGCTCTACTGTCTTTTTAAATACTAATGTTGATGTTACAAATTACTCCTAGTTGAAATTCACTTTACATGTTCTGAGGATCACAATTCCATCTGTTTATGTACACAGTATGGGGCTTTTTCCTCACTCCACAAATTGTTCTCATCATAGTATACCACTAGCACTTTGTCTAGTAAAATGGAAGGGACTCATGCAGAGAGGACAAATTCTGCTGCTTTGCAAGGTGAGCTTCTGACAGTCAAAACCAACTTGTTCCAAAGCACAGGTGCAAAAACCACCTAGGATTCTCATGCTACTTACTGGGATTTCAGAAGCAGCAGATTGAGAGGCAGTCTATTGAATTACACAACAAAAATTGTTTTAAATTTTCATGAATTCACTTGAACACTTACTTGTTTATAAATGAGCTGAGCAAAGAAATATACCTGTACATATGCAAAAATACAGTTTTGGAAAAGCACAGAATGGGAGCAATTCATACCTTAAATGTTACAAATGAACTCTCCTACAGACGTTCTTTATTCTAGGACTTGGAAAACTGATACCTAGTGAATATATTTAAAGTAATGATGTTATGGTATCTAAATCTACAGGCATGTTTTATTCAATGTGCTATAAAATTAAAAGAGAATATATGATATCAGGTAGCTATTTAAAACTTGATGGTATGTCATTTTCTAAAGTGCTAAATATGTTGATTTAAAAGGCAAGGAAGGAAGGAAGGAAGGAGAGGGGAGTGGAGGGAGGAGGGGATTGGAGGGAGGAGGGGAGGGAAGAAGGGAGGAGGGGAGGGAAGAAGGGAAAGGGGAGAGGGGAAGGGGAAAGGGAAAGGGAAAGGGAAAAGTAAAGGTGGAGCGACACCACCAACTCTCTGGTCTCCCCCCAGGACCTAGTGCAGGAACAGCCACTGTTTTGTGAAGTAGTAACCACAGGTTTAAGAACCTTAGCACTAACCATGATGTGAGTATTTGTATGGAGAAATCCCAGTCTCTCTTGATCTGAAATGTTTAAAGTTGCTGCAATGCCAAAATACTTTTGAACAACCATTTCTGAGTGCAAAGCCATTATCCTGGGACTTTTACATGACATGCAGATTCTATGCCTTAGAGGGTTATTATGCTGAGATAACACTTTTAGGTGAGGAAATGGGTCAAAAGTAAGAATAGTGTAAATTTTCTTAAACACTATACCTCAATCATAATGGGGAATCAACAATTACAGTAAACAGCCTACTACTCATATACTACTGTTAGAGATGATGATGACACAGTCCTAGTCACACAGAAATTTGTTTTTAAATGAGCTTTAAACCCAAAAGGGTTTTTAAAATGGTCTAATATCCATTTCAAACTCATATTAACTTCAATTCACTTGATATTTACTGAATACCACAGCACCAGGAAACATGCTAATTCTGAAGATACAAAGATGAAGAACCAAAAAATTATAACACATCTCGTAAGTGTTGTAAAGGCATGCCTGAGATACTGAAGAAGTCAGAGGCAAGGGTAACAAACTGTCAGGGAGGGAACGGAGAAAGGCTTCACAGAAGTTACCACCTAAACTGGGTTTTGACAGATGAAGAAAACTCCCCAGGCAGGAAACAAGAGAGAGAATTCAAAGGTGTGAGGTGTGGCTGAATACTTTGAGGGTGGTGTTACTAATAATACAAAGGGGAGAAAGAGGATAAGAGAGAAACTGACAGAAAAGCTGACAGAGACCAAGGATCACACCGCTTAGCCTGATACCATGCTAAGTAATTTCACCTTAGAAATACTGAAGAAACAATGGAGGCCTTAGACTGGTAAATGACATGATCAAATCGATGCTTTCTCTCCAACAGACCCTATTTCCAAATAAATCTAAAAATAGCCTCGGAAATACCTGGCTCTAAGGCAGTAAGTTGAGAAATAGGGGACAATATGGAAAAATACAATAACATGAAACTGTATCATCCCCTCATGCAATTTAATTACAATTTCATTAATTCCAATCAGATAAACAATTTAAACACAAGATTAAACTGGGCAATTCTACTAATTATACTGTCCTTACTTTCACAGTGGCTGGGAAACAAATTCTGGTTGCCAGGATTTTATAGGAGTTTTCATCCTGTTCCCTCCTATCATGACCACCCAATATCAAATGGACCCTTCTAAATACAGTGCTATATGGTATGAATGCACAGCATGCCTCTTTCCTTGATGAATCCTATGTGTATTTTTAGCTGATGGACAGTCAGAGCCCAGATCTACACGCTAGGAGAAATGCAGGCCAAAACAGCTCTTTGATATAAATGTTTAAATACAAAAAATACTACTACTACATAAATAATAAAAGCCAATTATTAAAAAAAGGACAGCATTTCAACAAACAAAAGAATTTGACAAAGGAATTAGGTAACTTCTGCACCACTGAGTAAAATGAACTTAAGTGACAGATTTCAAAGAACCCAAAATAAACCCCAAAACACATAATGTAAAGTCTGAATGAAAGGAGAGTCCTGAACTTTTATAAGAAGTCTTAATACATTTCTCAGGGTTCGAATCAAACTGTAGAAAGAAAGCCACAATACTAGCAAAGGAAAAAGGAAGAAGGCATTCATTTGGTGGAAGTATATGAACTTGCGTATCTTTGTGGTGAAGGCACATTCATTGAAAACTAACAATGGCAGTGCACTGAAGAACCAGTTCACTGAGAATACCCTCATAACTGAAAAGGGTAAATGTACTCTTGAGAACTGAGGGCCTCCCTTTTCTTCAGTAATACAGTCCATTATGCAAATAAACATTGTACTTAACATCCATGCTTATTCCACTAAGAAGCAATTAGCATTAACTTCATCCTAAAATGAGAGTCTGCATGGAGTTCAAAGTACACCTCATCACTTGACATCAAGGTCCCAGAAATTATCTCAACTGAGGCAGTTGTTAAATACTAAAGATTGAAGAATAAAAGCCTATACAGCCTTTGTACCCTTATAAAGTTTAATGATACACCATTACCTAGTACAAATCGTTTGGTGTTACTAAAAAATGGACAATTCAGTTGACAACTACGTTTATCATTCTGAATCAAGAGTAAGAGTTGCTTGTTAACCTAGTGTCCCCTGAGTGCTAAAGTAAGTGAGAGAGAGAAAAGCAGAGCACACAATGTTTTCATACCCAACTGTGTATAACACTTCTCTCTTTGAGAACATTAACAATTTTTTTTTTTTAACTTCCTTTCTCCCTCTACTTTAGTGGGAAAACAGTTGGTAATCACTTACATTAACAAGAGACTCCTTGAACTTGATGTGAAGTCTATAATTAGAAAGGGCAATGATGGCATCCTCAGCACGGCCCACATACTCTGTGCTTTCTCCATGAAGTTCAAGAAAAGGAACCTTCAAAATGGAAAAAGAAACCTTTCAGAGTTCTAAAGCAGTAAAGCAAAGTCTTCAAGTACAGGCTGGACAAATGGATGATTAAGACCTGTCACTCAAAAATAAATAAGGGACTTAAAAAGGATGATTTATATCCACATATCAAATATACCTGGTTATTCAAATTCCAGACTACTGAAGAAATGACAGGGAGATAATCCTCTCAAATAACAAATTCTCAAGAAATAAGTCTTTCTAAAAAGAGAGATTGTGGTGCACCTGGGTGGCTCACAGGGTTAAGCCTCTGCCTTCAGCTCAGGTAATGGTCCCAGGGTCCTGGGATCAAGCCCTGAATTGGGCTCTCTGATGGGCGAGGAGCCTGCTTCCCCCTCTCTCTGCCTGCCTCCCTGCCTACTTGTGATCTCTTTCTCTGTATCAAATAAATAAATAAAATCTGTTTAAAAAATAAATAAATAAAATAAAAAAGATTGTTTTCCAGGTTGCATTTCTACTATGAGTATGGTTTAGGGAAAAACAAAATTAGACAGTGCATTACTTCAATCCATTAGCTCTGCTACTGTTACTATGAGGTTAGATACTTATTTCATAATCAAAGTGGCCTGTAATTACCTGAAGATTCTCATCCTCCCGGATCAGCTGCTTCCTGGGAAAAATCTGATTGGCCTGGATACACTCAAGGCTGTGCCGAGTCTCTTCATCCTGGAAAAACCCAAAACCTTTAAATAATTTCAAAGCTCTCAGTCATCCATATTTTATTTTTCTGCCATGTCTAGTAGTATGATCACAATTCAGAGTCCAGTTACCAAGGTGAACAGGAAGAAAGCCCAAGGAAAAAATATTCATCCCCAAAGTGTTCCATACAATATATAAGATGTCTCTAGTGAGAGAGTACATGGATGAAAAAAAAAAGTTTTGAGCGTAAAGAACATTTTTACTAAGCACAAATAAATTATAACACATTACTTGTAAGACAGTTTTTTCTCTTTGTTATAACCTTAAATTCTTATTTTTGAACGCTATATCCTGAATTACTGAAGAATTAAATGATGTGATATCTACAATTAGCTTCAAAATAATTGGAGGGGGAAGGGTAGAAAGGAAGTGAGTGGGAAACTAATGAAATAGGATTATCCATGAGGGATAACTGAGAAAACTGGGAAAAGCAGGGGTTCACTAAACCATTATGTCTACTTTGGTTAGATGTAAGATTTCCACAACAGAAAGGTTTCTTTAAAAATTTAAGTTTAGGAACTGAATCCCTCAAAAACTGAAAACATGTGAACCACTGTCCCTAGTTTAATCTGCCTTAAATTATGAAACATTTCTATTACGGCAATTTAAAAAAAAGAACCACTAAATTCTCATCTAAATAGCACTTGAACTAATTATAATGTGTATTTAAAAAGCAGTTTTTTAGGGATGCCTGGGTGGCTCAGTTGGTTGGACAACTGCCTTCAGCTCAGGTCATGATCCTGAAGTTCCAGGATCGAGTCCCGCATCAGGCTCCCGGCTCCGCGGGGAGTCTGCTTCTCTCTCTGACCTTCTCCTCACTCATGCTCTCTCTCACTGTCTCTCTCTCAAATAAATAAATAAAATCTTTTTTAAAAATAAAAAATAAAAAGTAGTTTTTTATATTATGAATTTTTATGGTTTAGGAAGACAGGAGTAAAGCAATCTACTGGAAAGCCTAACTGTAAATTATTATAGAATGTTTTATACAGCACATTTTACAAGAGCAAAAGCCTATCGTGTCCTCTGACAGCACTAAGAATTATAACCACTAATTAGAGGACAGTTCTACCTACATGTTCTGCTTAACACAATTCCAGCAATTCTTTAAATTTCCTCAAAGGAAAAAATAAATCCTACCTATAAGTAACATGCTACCTATAAATCCTAACTATAAACCCACTTACGGTTTTACCTAATAGCAATCTTAATCATAACAGAGTAACACTACTAATGTGGCTCTCAAAGTGAGATCCACAGATTCTGGGACCTTTCAGGAGCTCTATGTGGTCAGGAAACACTTCCACATTAGTACTGAGACATTATCTGCCCTTTTTCACATTGACCTTTGTACTAACAGTACAAAAAGAATTAACAGGTAAAACTACTGACACCTTAGTATAAGCAATGACACCAATTTCACTTCAGATGTCCTTGATAAAGCAGAGGAAAAATGATGAAATTTTATTTAATCTTGACCCTTTGGTAAGTCTTTTTTTATATAGGAAATAACATGAAACACTTCTGCTACATACTGACATGTTATGGTTGTCTCAAGGTAAAGCATCCGTGCAATGGTGGTTGTTTTTTTGTTTTTTAAAAGATTTTATTTATTTATTTGACAGTGAGACAAGCGAGAGAGGGAGCACAAGCAGGGGGAGTGGGAGAAGGGGAAGCAGGCTCCCCACCTAGCAGGAAGCCCAACGTGGGGCTCAGATCCCAAGACCCTGGGATCATGACCTGAGCCTAAGGCCAACACTTAATGGCTGAGCCACCCAGGTGCCCCTGTGCAACTGTTTTAGTTACCAGCTAAACTAACCAGTTTCCCCCCCCCCATTAAATACCATTTTAATTGAAAGAACATCTGACAAACTATAATTCACTTAAACTGGCAGGGTTTTTTTCCTACAAATGACATCATTAATTACTAATGATAAAGCTTTTAGGTGAAAATTTGAATCTTGGAAAACCCATCATCTGCTAAAATGAAGAGCTCCACAGATTGCCAATCAATACTCAAGCAGACTTTTCTGACAAAATCAGAGCCAATACTACCAAATGTGATTTTTATTTTCATTTTTTTTAAGATTTCATTTATTTATTTGTCAGAGAAAGAAGCAGCACACGCGTGCCTAAGCAGGGGGAAGCACAGGCAGAGGGAGAAGCAGGCTCCTGCTGAGCAAGGAGCCCAACTCAGGACCCAAGCTGAAGGCAGATGCTTAACCGACTAAGCCACCCAGGCACCCCCAAGTGTGATTTTTGAAAAAAATTACAGGGGTGCCTGGGTGGGTCAGTCAGTTAAGCATCCAACTCTCAATCTCAGCTCAGGTCTCGATCTCGATCTTGGGATGGTGAGTTCAAAGTCCTATATTCGGTTCCATGCTGGGTGTTGGAGCCTACTTAAGAAAACAAAAAGTAGGGGCGCCTGGGTGGCTTAGAGGGTTAAGCCTCTGCCTTCAGATCAGGTCATGGTCTCAGAGTCCTGGGATCGAGCCCCGCATTGGGCGCTCTGCTCAATGGGGAGCCTAGTTCTCCCTCTCTCTCTCTGCCTACTTGTGATCTCTCTGTGTCAAATAAATAAAATCTTCAGAAAAAAATAAAATAAAATAAAATAAATAATAAAAGAAATTATAAAGAGAAATAGGTCTATATTTGAAAGATCAACATTATTCAATTAACAATTATTTTCAAAATGACAAATGCATAAATAATATTACAAAATCATGCACGGATAAAAAAGATCCATTTAAAGTGCAAGATAGACCAATGGCTTTAAATGTAATAGAATATATTGGGGCACCTGGGTCGTGCAGTCAGTTAAGTGTCCAACTCTTCATTTCAACTCAGGTCATGATCTCAGGGTCGTGAGATCGAGTCCCGTGGTCAGCTCCATACTCGGTGCAGAGCCCACTTAGGATTCTCTCTCCCTCTCCCATTGCCCCTCCCCCATCTAAAATAAATAAATCTTTTAAAAAATGTAATAGAATGTAGTAAGTTCACTGATACGGTTTCAGATTCCACAATGCAACTAACCTTTAAAGAAATATTACTTGTACCCCCCCTAAAAAAGGAACATATATTCCTTGCTTTGGTATAACAGAAGAATACACACAATATTCTCCAGATGGAAAAACTATTAAAATATTCTTCAAACTATATATCCATGTGAGGCCGGATTTACTTCATATTTTTCAACATTTTTTTCAACAACAAATTTTAACAAATTAAATGCAAAAGTAGACATGAGGATCTAGCTATCATCTATTAAGCAAAACATTAAAGAGATTTGTAAAAATTTTAAAATAATGCCACTGTTTACACTATCTCTGGATGAGGAAAAAGTTATTTTTCATCAAAAATGTTATTTATGGGGGCGCCTGGGTGGCTCAGTGGGTTAAAGCCTCTGCCTTTGGCTCAGGTCATGATCCCAGAGTCCTGGGATCGAGCCCCACATGGGGCTTTCTGCTCAGCAGGGAGCCTTCTTTCTCCTCTCTCTCTGCCTGCTTCTCTGCCTACTTGTGATCTCTGTCTGTCAAATAAATAAATAAAATCTTTAAAAAAAAATGTTATTTATGTTAACATTTAGTTGGTTGTTACTTTTTTAAGATTTTAAGTAATCTCTACACCCAACATGGGGCTCAAACTCACAACCCCAAGATCAAGAGTTGCATGCTCTACCATATAAGCCAGCCAGGCACCCCAGTTACTATTGTTTTTAAATGAACAAAAGAACATTTTAAAGACTTCTCAGGTTTAATTCCTAATAAAGTATAGACAGACATACCCTATGTAAACAAAATCTCTCTGGGGTCCTCAATAATTCAGCAATGTAAGAAGGGATCCTCAAAGCAGAGTTGGGAAAACTATAGCTCTATCTACTATACTGCAACTCAAAATACCATTCAAGTGGGCTCATTTGAAGTCACATTTCCTCTAAAACCATTCTTCCAGCACTAATCTGTGACCAGAAGAGCCATACAGAAATTGAGTAACAATCCCTCACCCATCTACCACCATAAAAGCAGTCTCTTGGCTACTAGCTGACTGGGCCCATTCCATCCACCCACTTTATTTTGAGGCAGAAGAATCTTACCTTTTAAAGGTTTGATATTTAAAATATAGAAAGACATTACTGACTTCAAGTTCTAAAAATAAAACTGTAACAGCTTTATAAATGGCTCATGAAATAAAAAAAAATTTACAAAACATCAGTCATCATTAAATAAAGTCTTGTTATATCTGAAAACAAATCAGGTGTCAACAGAGTCACATCCCTAGGGCTGTGAGGTATTTACCTTGATGAATTAAGAAATTATGGCTGATAATTATAAAAGTTAAAGTATAAAAAATTCAATTTCTCATAGAAAAAAAATAGTTTAATCAATGCAGTATATTTCAATAAGGTTAATATCGTGTGGCTTAGAGCCTCTAAAAATATAATTACTTGGGGTGTACAAAGGTTTGTACAAAGGTTTGTAAAAAGGCTCCACTCCCACAAACACCAAAATAACTTGTTAGATAAAGAAGAAATCTGTGTCAGTCTGTTCCATTTTTATCCCACTTCAGTCATTTCCTCCGAGGTCAATGACTGAGTGAAGGAATAACAAGGGATACAGTTATATTTGGAAGGAACTCATTTTTCTGTGTTATCTTTTTTTTCTTTTAACCAATTCTATTTCCATTATTAAGAGGTAGCTCCTGACCCAAAGATCATTGAGTATTTACACTTAAAACCAAGAAAAGATAAGAGGAATCTTGATTTTAGGAAGATTTTTCTCACAAAAAGCAACAGGGGAAAGGTAGGAAACACTATGAGGGGGAATGCTTTTAAAAATTACTACATAAAAGGGGCACCTGGGTGTCTAAGTCAGTTAAGCATTGGATTCTTGATTTTGCTCAGGTTGTGATCTGGGGGTTGTGAGCTCGAGCCCTGTGTGAGGCTCTGTGCTCACTAAGAAGTCTGCTTGAGATGCTCACCTTCTCCCTCTGCCCCTCCCCCAGCTCTAATAATCTTTAAAAAATTATTACATAGGAGCACCTTGGTGGCTCAGTCATTCAGCGTCTGCCTTCAGCTCAGGTCATGATCCCGGGATACTGGGATCAAGCCCGGAATCGGGTTTCCTGCTTGGCAGGGAAGCCCGCTTCTCTCTCTCCCACTCTCCCTGCTTCTCTCTCTCCCACTCTCCCTGCTTGTGTTCCCTCTCTTGTGGTCTCTCTCTCTGCCAAATAAACAAATAATTTTTTAAAAATTTTTACATAAAAGTAAACATGCCTCCTTGGCATCACATTAACTTTTTAACTCAAACATATAGGCCTAAACTTTTTTTTTTTTTTTTAAAGATTTTATTTATTTATTTGACAGACAGAGATCACAAGTAGGCAGAGAAGCAGGCAAAGAGAGAGGAGGAAGCAGGCTCCCCGCTGAGCAGAGAGCCCGATACGGGGCTCGATCCCAGGACCCTGGGATCATGACCCGAGCCGAAAGCAGAGGCTTTAACCCACTGAGCCACCCAGGTGCCCCTATTCTCTTCAAGATCATTTTACAGAGTCACTCATTTCTTCAAGTGATTACTGGACCTAGTTTTTTACTGACCTCTGAATAGCACAGAATTAAAATAATGTAGCAAGCTAAAAACAAAACCAAAAATGAGAAGCCATTACAAATCTACAAATCTATTCTTGCTGGCACATTCACTTGGGTGCTAATCTATGCTAACGTATATAACCAAAGTAGCCAGTGAAAACTGAAAATGGAATGAATGTATTGAACATAACAGAGAATTAAGTCAGCAAGGCAAGATCATGAAGTAATATTTTCTTCACAGTCAAATAAAATAAGTGTGCTTTTTAAGACTATCTCAATTCACATTACCTATAAGGCTTTACAGCTGATTTCCCCCTTATACATAAATATGCATTTAATCACTAAGGACTTAATTAACATTAGGATAAGCTACTGACATCCTAGAATGGTATTTCATAACATAAGTTAAATTAACTGCCTAATTCATTAGTTTCTAAATTTCATGGGTAAAAATGGGTAAAAAAGGTCAAACTTTAACATACCTATTCTGATAGAATAAGGAGCTGGAAGGAGACAAAAGGGAAGGAAGAAACAGACTAGCAAGTCTTGGCCTCCTAAGAGGCTTGCAAAATTTCTCCCAGGCTACAAGTAGTAATTTTTTAATACTAGGGAGCATATATTCCATATGGTCGATTTCCTAGTATTGCTGAGGGACACCAGGTATTGTGGAATCTGGCAATTCTTAGTCTCTACCAGTTCCATAAGGTCAGTGGGACTACCTACAAAATCTTGAAAAGGGATTAGTCACCACAGTTCCAGGCTAGTTTCTGCTACTGGCTTATGTAGGTAAGAGCGGTAATCCATGCATTAGAGAGGAAATCAACATTACAAAGAAATATTTAAAGAATACAGGAAGCAGAGACTGCCAACAAGTCAAAATACCCATTAACTAAATTCACATACAAACTTCCAGGCTTTTAAAAAAAAAAAAGAAAAGAAAAGAAAAGAAACTACTGCTGAGAGTAAAATATGTGTAGGGAATACTGGACAAAATGTAAAAATGAAAATAATTATCAGTCTCATTGTCAATCCCAGTCATTATTCTTAAGACTGGTATTGAAGGCCATCAAAAATACAAATTTCTCTTGATACAATGCTTGGGATTTGTTTCAAAATCATCCAAAATAATCCAAGAGTTGACAGTGAAGGAGTCAGAAGAAACAAGTATGGCCATGAATTAATACTTACTGCAGTGGATTGATGCATATGATCGTTCACTGTCTCTCTGTACAAGCTTGAGATTTTCCATAAAACATGAAAACATATTCTCCTAATGCTTAACATACGAAAAAAGGCTTCAAACTCACTTAATCTTTATAAGCTTAAGAGAGAAGATGTTACTCAAATTAGTACAGAGGTATACATTTTAAAAAAGAAAATTTGGGGGGCACCTGGGTGGCTCAGTGGGTTAAAGCCTCTGCCTTCGGCTCAGGTCATGATCTCAAGGTCCTGGGATAGAGCCCCACATCAGGCTCTCTGCTCAGCAGGGAGCCTGCTTCCCACCTCTCTCTCTGCTGCTCTGCCTACTTGTGATCTCTCCCTGTCAAATAAATAAATAAAATCTTTAAAAAAAGAAAAGAAAAGAAAGAAAAGAAAGAAAGAAAATTTGGGATGCCTGGTTGGCTCAGTGGGTTAAGTGTCTGCCTTTGGCTCAGGTCATGATCCCAGATCCTGGGATCAAGTCCCGCATCTGGCTCCTTGCTCGGCAAGGAGCCTGCTTCTCCTTCTCCCTCTGCCTGCTGCTCCCCATGCTTGTGCTGTCAAATAAATAAATAAAATCTTAAAAAAAAAAAAAAAATTCAGCACCCCTGAATGTACTACACAAAAAATAAGGATTAAGCATATACAACTAAAATGCTGAAACAACAGAATACATCAATTAATTAGGATATTAATTAAATCAATGGTTCAACAACTTGCAAAATGTTATACAGCTAGTAAAATGAACATCAGGAATCCAATGAATCAACACGGGGAAATGTTTAATTCCTTTAGTGAAATAAGCAAAACAGAAATTTAATTATGCTTTAATTCCAAATACATAAAAAAATATACATGAGGACATGAACTAGGTAGAAAGGACTACAACCATGGGTTTTGGTGGTAGAATTAGAGTATTTGTAAAAACTTGTTATAATGTTACTTTATGAGAAATTTTTTAAAAAGTAGACACATGGCCATACTGTTCCCCGAATACAACACATAAAAGCTTCTCCAGAGCACACCAGAAACCCCAGCAGCACCAGTACGAGAACCACACTCTTCCTAGCTACATGGTCTACAATAAAGGACAAACCTTCAGTACAGAACAGAGCTGCTTTTATAAGGCTGTCATTTGTTATTCATTAGCATTGGCATACATACCACATAAATATTAGGCAAACATTTTTTCAATTCATTAAACACTCTGTGGGAAAACCAATAAAATAAAATGTAGTCTAGAGAAATAATATTAAAGGTTCATCAGTGCCTGGATATATCAAAAAGTTGTTACACCCACAAACTAAGAAAAAACTGGCCCAGCTTCAAAATGAAAGCAGTTACCTTTCTCCTTCTTTTAGTATGACATTTTTGCACAACTAGTTTTTCTGTTGTGTTTTAGTTTGTTTTTAATTTTAAAAAGCATTTTCAACCCATGTCCCTAATGAAGCTTGAAATTAACATGGCCTTTTCAATTCCTTCTTTGTGTGCCAGCATGAAACAGTCTCAATCTAAGAAACATAACAAGGTAGAAGCAGGACAATATTACGGAGCACCATTTCTTTTTTAAGCCTTGAAGCACTGTTTACATATGCTCAGGATTGATAGAAATGTGGCTGGCTCATTGCTGCATCTTCTCTGCTTAGACGGAGCACTAAATGGCCCACAAGTCACTGAAATGGCCATTATATGCTCTATAGTCAAAGATGCAGGTAGGGGGTGTGGAAAGCTGCTTCACCTTCATTGGGACAAAAATACTATCTTAAATAGAAAGAGGAAGGTAGGGATATACTGCTATCCAGAAAGGTGAATTCATAAAGAATGTGTATGACCATATCATAATTCTTCTATAGACATACCACACACACACACACACACACACACACACACACACACAGTTTTCACTACATCTTGCTTCCTAGAAAAGGATAAGAAACCTAGAATCCAAGAACCATAAATTTTAGTCTTAATTCCACTTATTACCTGACTGAAAAGTAACATACATTATCTAATTTACAGGATTAAACAGAAATAAACTATTCTCAGGGGCGCCTGAGTGGCTCAGTCGTTAAGTGTCTGCCTTAGGCTCAGGTCACGATCCCAGGGTTCTGGGATCAAGCCCCGCATCGGGCTCTCTGCTCGGTGGAAGGCCTGCTTCTCCCTTTCCCACTCCCCCTGCTGGTGTTTCCTCTCTCACTGTATCTCTGTCAAATGAATAAGTAAAATCTTAAAAAAAAAAAAAAAAAAAAAAAGGAAAAAAAAAGAAATAAACTATTCTAAAACACTAAAATGCTCCATTATTACTGAATAAACAACAAAAGAAAGGTAACAAGAAGAGAGTTCAGGAAAAGAAAAGTGATTTAAAAAATAAAAATGTATGGACCTATCAGTGTTCACTTAATTTCAGGATAGAGTTCAATTCCAATTTTCCTGTTATTTCTTTTTACTTACCATGACAGGAGGCCCAGATTAGGAGGAGAAATCCCCTTCCTTTCTTCAGTGTCTGGCAAGAATTTCCTTTACACGTGGATCTTTAAAAAGGAAAAAAGGGGGGGGAAAGGACAGAATTGGCAATCTTCCCCTACTTGGCCAGATTTTAATTAAAGAACCACACATACATGGATCTGCAGACCTGACCAGAATCACCCAAGAACAAGTTAAATATCACCCAGCCAATTCCCACTAGTTAAATCCAAACTCCATAATGCCTTTGTGAAAATCCTCATGGTCCTAACCCATTTGAGCAAAAATGCAGCAAAGACTCAAGTTTCTAACGTTGATAGTAGTATGAAAAATGTTATAGACTCTGACTGAAATAACCCTAACCCTACTTAAAAAACTTAAAAAATAACCCTAACCCTAACCAACCTGCAAATGCAAAAACAATATTCTTGTAATACAATCATTTTTTTAAAGATTTTATTTATTTGACAGAGAGAGAGAGAATACAACTAAGCAGAGGGGCAGGCAGAGGGAGAGAGAGAAGCAGGCTCTCCGCCAACCAGGGAGCCCAATGTGGGGCCCGATCCCAGGACCCTGGAGTCATGACCCACGCTGAAGGCAGCCGCTGAGCCCAGATGCCCCCTATTCTTCTAATATTATAGGATGTTTCTGTGCTGATCTATAAATTCAAAATGGATCTCCCTATCTGTGAGGACCAAACTGGCTTAGTAAGCAAAATATGAAAAAACTGCCTTATTGCCCCAATATTCTATGTTCATCTGAAAGTCACACAATAAAAAGGACTGAAATACTGATACATGATAATATGTGAACGAACTGTGAGAATATTATACTAAGTGAAAAAAGCCAGGCAAAAAAAAAAACCCATTATTAAATACCATTTATATGAAATGTCCAGAACAGGTAAATCCATAAAGACAGAAAGCAGATTAGTGGTTGTCAGGGATTAGGCTGAAGAAGGTATAGGGAGTAACTGCTCATGGATACAAGGCATCTTTGTGGGGTAATAAAAATGTTCCAGAATTAGATAATAGTAGTGTTTAGCACAACATTATATACATTCTAAAAATCCCTCAACTCTAAACTTTAAAAGGTAAGTTTCACATGATGTGACTTATAGCTCAATTTAAAAAAAAATGTAGTTAGGGGTGCCTGGCTGTCAATAGAGTGTGCAACTCTCTCTCAGGGTTGTGGGTTCGAGCCCCACACTGAGTGTAGAGTTTACTTAAAAATAAAATCTTAAGGGGAACCTGGGTGGCTCAGTGGGTTAAAGCCTCTGCCTTCGGCTCAGGTCATGGTCCCAGGGTCCTGGGATCGAGCCCCACATCGGGCTCTCTGCTCAGCGGGGAGCCTGCTTCCCTTCCTCTCTGTCTGCCTGCCTCTCTGCCTACTTGTGATCTCTGTCTGTCAAATAAATAAATAAAATCTTTTAAAAAACAAATAAATAAATAATTAAAAAATAAAATAAAAAAAATTTTAATGTAAAGAGTGTGCATATAATCAAACTCTTCATAAAAAACTAAAAATAATCCTACATCAAAAAAGTTATGGAGCCAGTCCAGCAGAAATAAACATTCTAGGCATCTACAGTATGGTCTCTAAAGACTAATTCCCATGGCAACTTAAAAAGTGTCAATGTTCTGTAATTTAAAAGGTTAAATTAAATATATACAAAAGCATTATTTGTATTAATTCTGAAGCATATTTGTACATGCACAGAAAAATGATACATGAATTTTTTTCAATGGCTACCCCTCTAAGAAAGAGAAGTGGGAGTGGGGACTTTTAGTTTTTATACTTTTAGATTTACATTAGTAATTAGGAAAATAAACTTTTACAAAGAAGTTTTTTTAAAAAGAAACTCAGAATAACACTGCATAAAAGGTCTTCCATTTAATCTAAGGCAAAGTGTAAAGATAATGACCTCAATCAAAAAAACAGTAAGAAATGAAGGGGCACCTGGGTGGCTCAGTTGGTTAAGCGTTGTGCCATATTACTAACTCTATGACCTTGAAAGCAAGACATACTAACCGCTCTGAGCCTCTGTTTCTTCATCTATAAATAAAAATTAACAACTGCATGAAAGATGTGTGAGGGTCAAAGGATAATGCATATGGTGTGCTTAATATAATTACTAACATACAGAAATAAGCACCTTTTAAATCATTAAGATATTCCATTACATACAAAGAACTTGGATAGGATAGTACCCACCACGGTCCTGTTTTTTTAAATACACACACTCACGTGTGTGTGTGCATACACAGTTACTTATTTTTGAACCATTCTTTTTAAAGACTTTATTTATTTGACAGAGAGAGAGAGAGAGAGAGAGACAGAGGGGGAGGGAGAAAGAGATTCCCTACTGAGCAGGGAGCCTGGCGTGGGGCTCAATCCCAGGACCCTGAGGTCATGACCTGAGCTGAAGGCAGACAACCAACTGAGCCACCCAGGTGCCCCTATTTCGGAACCATTTAATAGAGAGCTGTGGTGGTGCTTGGTGGTGCAGTCAGTTAAGCATCTGGCTCTTGGTTTCAGAGCCACGTTGGGCTCCACACTCAGCACAGATTGTGCTTAAGACCCTCTCTCCCTCTGCCCCTCCCACCCTTCTCTCTCTCTTGCTCTAGAATAAATCAATTTTTTTCAAAAAATGACAACTGTGGGTGCCTGGGTGGCTCAGTTGTTTGGGCGGCTGCCTTCAGTTTGGGTCATGATCCTGGAGTCCCGGGATCGAGTTCCGCATCAGGCCGCCTGCTCAGTGGGAAGTCTGCTTCTCCTGCTGACCTCTCTCTTCTCATGTTCTCTCTCTTTCATTGTCTCTCTCTACCCCTCAAATAAATAAATATTTTTTTAAATGACAGCTGTATAAACCATGCCTCTGTACTCCTTATTACTTTAGTATATACTTCCTAAGAACAAAAATAATCTTAAATAATCACAGTATTAGTTTTAAAATTTAGAAAGTTTAACACTGATTTAGTACATTAATCTACCTTCTATATTACAATCTGCTCAACTTAACCAATTTCATACCTCATATTAATTTTTTCCCTCAACAGAGGATCCAGTCTAGGATCACATACTGAATCTAGTTGTCCTATCTCGGGTCTCTTTTAATCTGTGACCCATATTATATTAATTCAAATAATGTTTCCTGGAATCAAAATTAATTCAATCATCTCACATCTTTCCCTCCAAACCTAGACCATGTTTCTTAAGAATGTAATATTTTTTAAAACGTAACACTTTAAGAGTGCCTGGAATGGCTCAGTTGTTGGGCATCTGCCTTCAGCTTAGGTTGTGATCCCAGGGTCCTGAGATCCAGCCTCGAGTAGGGCTCCCTGCTCTGCAGGAAGCCTGCTTCTCCCTCTGCCCCACCCCCCACCGCCTCTGTCTCTCATGAATAAATAAATTTTTAAAATCTTGGAAAAAAAAAATACTTTAATTCATTGTTTGCAAATACAGGTACTAGATGCTTTATCAAGTCAAATAATGATTCTAAAAATAAAAATCAATAAACACTTACATTATTATGGCAATGTAAAAATTAAACCTGCAGAGCCAGGTAATATATTAGGATTACACTTCCTTCTTTAAAGGTCTAATACAGACCCACTGGGCCAAATGAAGGATAAGATTCTTATTCCAAGCATCAAAGTCAAATGATTGCTCTTTTCTTAATATATGCATGAGAATTTGACATCTAGGATCTGCAGGCTTCTCTGGGCTCTATCATCTGTACCACCCATAGATGCAACTTCCGAGGAATCTTAACAAAAGTAAAATATCATTTCATCTTCCTAGTGAACATGGTATCTCATCTTTCAGGCACCTGGAAAGGAGAAATTACCCAATTTCTTTCTCAGTAACTAAAACTTACACTCACAAACAGTAACTCAACTGCAACTCAGACTATAAGGTCACAGATTATATGTATCATATAAACCCTTCATTATACAGAAAGAAGGAAAAAAATAGTACCCTGAATCAACAAGATTATAACTAATCCCTACTAAATTAGATTAAAAATTAGATTATAATTTCCTAAATTAAACAGGTGGCACAAAATCTATTCTCCTTTATTCTTATCAAACACACACTCACCCCCACCAAAAACAAAAATCTTACTTAAAATCAAATTATAGTGGAACTCCTGTATCCCAGGACTCTGGAAATGTCTTTGTGAATTGAAAATTCAAATATGGGCATAGTTTTTGCCTTCAAGGTGTTCACAATCTCATGGGGACAACAAACAGATAACTAATAAGGCAGAATGTGAAAAGAGATGCAGAAATAGAACTCCATGAGGATGCAAAAGACAGAAATAGATTCTGGTCTGGGCACTCAAGGGAGGCTTTTTGGAACAACTGGGCTTTTTAATAGTTGAGCCAGTCAGATTCTGAGCTACTGAGACAGAGGGAACAGGAATGGACAAGAAAAGAACGAGACCAAAAAAAATAAAGAAAGAAAGAAATAAGCATGCTGGAGAGTACTCAAGGGAAAACAGGTCAATATGGCTACAGCAAAAGGTGCCCCTAGGTGTTATGGGGAAATGTTTAAAGCCCACTTGTCAAGAGCCTAAAATGCCATGGTAATGAGCTTGATCCTTATTCTGGAGGCAATGTCAAGCTGAAGGTTGCAAAACAAAGTATTGATATGGATCTAAAAAGTTAAAACTAAAACAACAAATTCTCTTTTCAATAAAATTAGATTATAATTTTGTAAATTAAACAGATGGCAGAAAGAAGAAGCAGTAATGAAGACTGAAAAAGTCATAGATACACACCAGTCTATGAAAAGAACAAGGATTAATAACCACATTGGGGACAAGATTAAATTTTTTAAAACTTTTCTTCTTAAATGTCACATTAGTACTACTATTTCTAATGATGAAACATTTTTATATAGATATGTAACAAGAAAACTCAAAAACAAGAATCATTTTAATGTAAAAGAATTCCATGTTGTTAAGAACTGTCTACTCCATAAACAAAATATTAGGGGTCCAACTCATTTAATCTCAACTTAAATACAAAGTTTCCAAGTATAGTATACTGTATTATGGCAAATTATATATTGAAAAAATAATCTGCCTTGAGCCCTCATATTTAGAGATTTAACATTAAAGTGAACATGTAAGAGCTCATCTAAAGGGGCACCTGGGTGACTCAGTGGGTTAAAACCTCTGCCTTCGACTCAAGTCATGATCCCAGGGTGCTGAGGTGAAGCCCCAAAGGGCTCTCTGCTCAGCGGGGAGCCTGCTTCCCCCTCTTTCTCTCTGCCTGCCTCTCTGCCTACCCGTGATCTCTGTCTGTCACATAAATAAATAAAATCTTTGGGGGGAAAAATATATTTTTTAAAAAAAAGAGCTCATATAAATAATTATGTACACGGACAAAGAGACCCGCCCCCCACAATTAATCTGTAAATTAGTTTCTGCTGCTCAAAACAGCACAAAGTGGGGGGAGGGGTATGACAAACTTACCAAGTGAAGTTTGTCCCAAGAACTTTCTCTATTAGAAGGTTTCACAAGCCAATCTGCAAAAGAAAAACCAATAGTTTTACAAATATCCTAAGAATCAAGTTAAGCCACTTAATGCTCTCCACAAGACTTTTCTCTACAAGTTAGAATGCTGTGACAACATATTTTTTTAATTATTTATAACTATTTAGTCAACAACAATATAATTATGACTATTTAGTCAACAACAGATTTTAGAGTGCTTAATTGCCCAAAATGATCCCAGTCAGGACTCAGGATGCCTTTAGAAATTACAGAACTATTCAGACAGAACTTTCCAACAACCTACAGATACTCCTATATATGGGTTTTTCCTCAGTCAATCATCATTTCTGATGGTTTCTCAGCTAAACCTTTGCCACTACATGAACCAGTACTTTAAAAAAAGAAGATCATATGTCTAGACTTAAGACTTGGTAACATGGGCGCCTAGGTGGCTCAGTGGGTTAAGCCGCTGCCTTCGGCTCAGGTCATGATCTCAGGGTCCTGGGATCGAGTCGCGCATCAGGCTCTCTGCTCAGCAGGGAGCTTGCTTCCCTTCCTCTTTCTCTGCCTGCCTCTCTGCCTACTTGTGATCTCTGTCTGTCAAATAAATAGATAAAATCTTAAAAAAAAAAAAAAAAAAGACTTGGTAACATAAGGTGTTTTGTACACACAACTGGCTTCTACCAAGGGATTTTTTAAAAGATTTTATTTATTTGTCAGAGAGACATAGAAAGGAAAGAGTACAAGCAGGGAGAGCAGTGGGCAAAGGGAGAAGCAGGCTCCCCAGTGAGCAAGGAGACTAATGTAGGACTAGATCCCAGGACCCCAGGATCATGACCTGAGTGGAAGGCAGACACTTAACCAACTGAGTGACCCAGGCATTCCTAACAAGGGATCTTTTATGTGTAAGAAAAAAATCAAGGTGGAAGGAGTATGATCAAACACAAATAAATTTTGTTACAACTAGGCACCAACCTGATCTTTACAAAGATAAAATACCTAATCGACTGATTTTTTTTTTTTTTAAAGATTTATTTGAGAGAGAGAGAGAGAGATGGCACAGGGGTAGGGGCAGAGGAAGAAAGAGGGAGAATCTCAAGCAGACTCCCTGCTGAGCACTCCCCTGAGCCCAGGTGCCCCATAACAGGATTCCTTTGTAATGATTTCTCTCAGTATTTGCAGACAACTCATTCTTTTGGGCTGTTAGAGGACATGAAATCACATAAACAAAACTGTGTAAAATATTAAAATCTTAAAATAAAGGAATCAGTCAACATAGCACATTACATCCATAACGTCCAGAAAAACAATTTTAATGGGGTAAGAACCAAAAAAGGGAGGCTAAATATGCAATAATAAAGTGTTTTAACCATTTTACAAGTAGGATTTTTGTTTGTCTCCCGTAACTTCTAATTTAAATTTTATAATTTAGAGGCCATATTAACCACATACTATATGGGAAATAAAGCTGTTAATAATTTACGACTTGAGATACAAACCATATTAAGTATCAAGTTTAGTCTTTTTTTTTGTTTAAAGATTTTATTTGACAGAGAGCGAGCACAAGTAGGCAGAGTGGCAGGTAGAGGAAGAAGGAGAAGCAGGCTCTCCACTGAGCAGGGAGCCCAACGCAGGGCTTGATCCCACTGGGATCATGACTTCAGCCAAACTCATAAGCTTCAACTTAACCGACTTAGCCACCCAGGCACCCCTCAAGTTTAGTCTTATTGTTTTAAAAGGTACAACACAATACAGAAGAAAAGTTGGAGGTCTGTAAATCTGCAGGACCTTTTCTTGCTAGAATATAATTTTTGCTAAGCACTTAAATACTAAAATACATATTATAATTTCTTCCTTTTAAGTTATGTCAGTAGGTACATTATACTATGATTTTTTTAAGATTTTATTTATTTGAGAGAGAGAGCACAAGCAGAGGGAAAAGGCAGAGGGAAAGGGAGAAGCAGGTTCCCCACTGAGCAGGACTCTGAGACCATGACCTGAGCCAAAGGCAGATGCTTAACCAACTAAGCCACCTAGAGACCCACTACCTAAGACTTTTACTTTAGGATAATAAAGAATTGCTTGTTAAGAACTGCTTGGTCTCTTTGTCTTTGACTTAAAAAAAAAAAAAAAAAGGATGCAATAATGTATATCAAGACACATTTCACATAAAAAGTATTACAAACAAAAAAGGATGAAACACAGCTCATTGTACTCAGCAAGTGTCAGGATACTACAAGGTTAACTGCCCAGTGACATGCATGTGCTCAGAGTTCAGGGCAGAACAGCGCAGGGAGACTTCAGAGCAGATGAAGACTCTTAACTGCGTTTTATAGACTAGATGGGATCTAAATAAAGAGAAAAAAAGGATAGGGATAATTCAAGAGAGAATAGCTATTAATACCACAGTAGGAAGAAAACATGACATTTTTGAGAAATAGAGGTCAGAATATCAAGAGAGTTCAAGAAGAGAAGACTAGAAAGGCAGGACACAACTGTGGGCCTTCAATGTCAGGGTAAGGAGTCAGATTTAATTCAATGGCACGAAATCAAGAGCTTTATAAACAGGAAAAACCACAAAAGTGGTGGTGTTAAAACAACAGCAAGCAGCAAGCTGAATGGTCTGGAGGGGAAAATTGACTTAGGATGTTCATGGACTAGTAGTTCAGATATGAACTGCTAACAGCCTAATATCTCAACTGTAGCAGAGGAAATGCAGGGGAAAACATCAAAGTGAGTAAAAGCATAAACTTCTTGAGCTTAGTAATTGATTAGAAATGGGAAAAAAAGAGGCAGAGCAAATTGTTAAAGGTAACTCCAAAATATTAACGCCTGGGGTTAGTGGAAAAAGGATAGTATCATTAAGAAATGAAAGGTAGGATGCCTAGCTGGCTCAGTCAGAAGAGCATGCAACTCTTGATCTTGGGGTCATGAATTTGAGCCCCACACAGGGTATAGAGATTACTTAAAAATAAATAAACTTAAAAGAAAAAAAAAAAAAGAAAGAAAGAAAGAAATGGAAGGTAGTTCCAAGGAAGCAATGTCAAGTAGATGTATATCCAGCAAGTGGACGGTAGGAGGGATTAAATTCAAGAGACAGGTCAAGTCTAGGGGTAATAATGAATTGATTTAATTCAAGGTGCTAAATTTAATTCAAGAAAATCACTATATCTACTATAAAAATCATTTGACATGTTTTAAGTTACTGAATAATTTTTTTAAGATTTTATTTATTTATTTGACAGAGATCACAAGTAGGCAGAGAGGCAGGCAGAGAGAGAAGGGGAAGCAGGCTCCCTGCTGAGCAGAGAACCCGATGCGGGGCTCGATCCCAGGACCCTGAGATCATGATCCAAGCCGAAGGCAGAGGCTTTAACCCACTGAGCCACCCAGGCGCCCCTTAAGTTACTTGATAATTTATTCTGTCAAACATATAAGAAGTCCATCAATACAGAAATGTTTGTGTAAAGTTTCCACAGTGTGTAAAGTTCCAAGAGACAGACCAAACAACAGGTAGTTTAAACAAGAAGGTTCAGGCAGGTCTGCTCAATGCTGGCAATGACTCTTCTTCCCAACAACTACAATCAAAGAACTACTTGGTTGGAAACAAGTATGTCATTGTGAAATACTGCCAACATCAACAACAACAAAAAACTGCCCACGCCTCTTGGGACTATTTGCCAGATAAAGGCCATGCAGAGGTGAGTCTGAAAGAAGCTCTCTGGTGCCATAAGCTGCCTGTCAGTGACAGCAGCAGATATCCTATGATACAATCATGTGTACACATGCCTCACAGAGTAACAGCACTTAGGTTTGGGTGACGCTGAATATATACTGAATATATTTAAAGAAGTACCAGGTGGCTCAAGTCTATTAAGTGCCTGCCTTTGGCTTCCGTCATGTTCCCAGGGTCCAGGGATCCAGCCCAGCGTCGGGCTCCCTGCTCAGGGGGGGACTCTGCTTATCTCTACCTTTCTCTCTCCCCCTCTAACCCTCCCTGTGCTCTCTCTCTCTCTCTCAAATAAATAAAATCTTTTTTTTTCCCCTAAAGATCGGGGGGCGGGGGGGAGGAATGACAGACGAATGAATAGACGGACCCCATTAGCTTCAACAGGGCTAAGAAGCACACCAATCTGGGCCTTTTATATAATTAAAGAATTCAAACCATAAAAATAACCAGATTGAAATAAAAGGCATCCAAACTGTCAAAAAAGAAGTCAAACTCTCACTCTTTCCAAATGATATGATACTTTATGTGGAAAACCCAAAAGACTCCACCCCAAAACTGCTGAAACCCATATAGGAAGTCAGTAAAGGGTCAGGATATAAAATCAATGCACAGAAATTTCTATATACCAACAACAAGACAGATAAAAGAGAAATTAAGGAGTCGATCCCATTTACAACTGCACCCAAAACCGTAAGATACCTAGGAATAAATCTAACCAAAGAAGAAACAATCTGTAGTCAGAAAACTATAGAATACTCGTGGAAGAAATTGAGGAAGACACAAAGAAATGGAAAAACATTCCATGCTTATGGACTAGAAGAACAAATATTGTGAAAATGTCTATGCTACCTAAAGCAATCTACACACTGAATGCAATCCCTATCAAAATACCATCAAATTTTTTCAAAGAAATGGAACAAATAATCCTAAAATTTATATGGAACCAGAAAAGACCACAAACAGCTAGAGGAATGTTGAAAAAGAAAATCAACGCCAGTGGCATCACAATTCCAGACTTCAAGCTCTATTCTAATCATCTATCTAATCATCAAGACAGTATGGTACTGGCACAAACAGACACTAGATCAATGGAACAGAATAGAGAGCCCAGAAATAGACCCTCAACTCTATAGTCAACTAATCAACTAAATGTCCAATGGAAAAAAAACAGCCTCTTCAACAAATGGTGTTGGTAAAATTGGACAGCCTCATGCAGAAGAATGTAACTGGACCATTTCCTTATACCATACACAAAAACAGACTCAAAATGGAGTCCTTTCTCAATGTGAGAAAGGAATCCAT